CAGTAAGCTAGCTCTAAACAAAGTGCTTAGAGATAGGCAGCTAGCCTTAGATACTACAGAGGTAGTTAGCTGTTTCTTTAACCTATAATAGCAGGGCTAAAAAGCTAGACTTATAGAGCTATATAATAAATACGCTAAGAGCTACATCTTTAGCCTCCGTAAGTGACCAGGGCTAGCCGCCCTTATCTAGGCTAGCGCAAAGGTTATAGCTAGCCTAAAGAGCCTAGAGATACTAGTAAATAGAAGTATTAGATATATTATACTACTAGGCAAGTTAGCAGATAAAGGGTACAGCAGATAGCTCCTTGCTAGGCTAGTTAAATTAGCTAGCCTATTACTAGGTAGCAAATATTACTTTAGTAGCCTTTTTAGTAGTAGTTATATTCTTATTATATTAGTAAGGCATATTAAAGGGTTAAAGTAGGGTAAGTAGTTTAGTTGCTGTTAATATCTATTAATAATATGTCTAAATAATTGCTTGTTTTTAGTAAGAATATAATAAAAAGTAGGACAGGGCGGGGACTAGGTGTAACCCCCCTTTTCTTACTGTAACCCCCCTTTTTTTGCCCCCTCCGTGAGGAGGGGGTGTTTAGCTTTGACGAAGGCTGACTAACACCCCCGGGTAATACTTTAGTTTCACCCTGGCCTCCCCTTGGCCCCAGGCAGGTTATTGTAAAAGGTGAGCAAAAGCAACAAGACTCACCCAGCTCACCCTGTTGGCTAGTGGGTGAGAAGAATGGGACTGGGAAGGATGTCAAAAATAAGTTGATAGCAAACGATCTGGCTTACAGTTGAGACAGCCATCCCTCATGGCCGCCAAAGCCAATGAAGCGGCACGGTGTTGGTTCTTGAGCCTCCAAGAACTGGTCAAAATTGAATATCCGTAATGCTTGCAGCCTTTCGGTCCGGTATCTCGATGATGACGTTATTGCAGCAAGTGTTCGTAAACACAATGATCTAGTTGTTTTGAGTTATCAACTCGTGGGTTGACTAATTAAGTACCGATATCCCTGGCTGGATGTACAGCCAAAGTGTGGACAAGGCCCTGGTACGCACGAGGCTCTTCTGCTTCGTCGACATCCAATAACGGCGTCTTTTCTCATTTGGTCTTCGTGAAAGTATCGATATGGTTGACATCATTGATTCAAACGCCGTGTATAGTCTTGGTGGAGGAGCGGCTTATGGTGTAAGCGAGGATCGGATAACTCTGAAGTCGATTTCGCTGGGGACGATGGAAGAATTAGCGGATAGCAGATTGAGTTTTGGGAATCTTTGAGACCCTTGCGCAAATGTGGACCTGAGGGTTCGTAGCGTAAACGCTGTGGTAACAATCATGGCATTGGAGAAGACATACAAAGTCCCGCCCGTCGCCCTCAACACATTGTTAGTTGATTAGACAGACCTAGAGTCAAGGAAAAAGCGAGTCTTCAGACTGACCCAAGTTTCAATGGTACTTTCTTCGCAGTTGAAACCGTCAACCGTCTCGCAGGAAGATACTTTCACATTGATCGGACCGTTTCCATGCGCTTGAGCAACTACAAAAGATCAGAATCCCGCCGACGCATCGACCGTAGCTTACTTAACATCATTAGCGGCCGGCCGTTGACAAGGATGAAAACGCCCGAGTGCAACACTGTTTCGGAGATCGAGGGCTACAGCCGAGCTAGTCTTATTTGGAACAGGTGTCCACCAAGGTTTGTGCCCGGAGGTGGACGAAATGCTTAAAAGGGGACAGACTCCCTCCCTCCCCACAACCCAATTTGATGGTACGTTGTTGGCTGCTCCGTCCACCTCTTCAACCAGCTGTTCCCTCTGCTAACAACTGCGTCGTGCAAGATCGCCGTTGTCGGGATGGTTCTGGAAAACGAGACTAGTCAGAGTCTCCACACCTGCAGTACTTGTTCTCGCTCGTTCAATCGCATCGAGAACCTGAAGCGCCACCAGAAGACTCGTGGGTTCCACCAACTGCCGATGACCAAAAGAAAATCCCCCCAAAGCTGATGATGCGAGTGAGCTTGAATTGCTAGACCAGAGCAGACTGCCTCATCGCTGCGTAATCTGTCAGAAAGAGTTTTCGCGTAGCGATATACTCAAGAAGCACCGGCGTGTCCATCACAAAGGCACCCCGGACGGGCAGAATCTAGAGGAGAACCCCGCGAGAGAGTTCTGTTTCGTCCTCGAGGATCCTGGTTCGTTGTCGCAAGCCTTGCCGGACAAGATTGCACATCCAGTCAGCTTGGGTTCAAGCTCTGTAACTACGACCTCGACCACATCTACCGTTACATGGGGCCCCCCAACGAATGATGCTCAGTACTCGACGTATTCTCACAATGGAGGACCAGCCTCCGGCACAAATTCAACAGCTGCAAACCAGCACCACAGCACGATAGCTGCTCTTCCGGCTATCCTGGATGTAGATGTCGATTTTTCTACCTTCTTCCAATCATGGGCGGACAATCTTTGGCTCGATACTCGGCAATGGTTCACTCCGGAGTTCCACGATGCTATGAGGGAAAAGACTTACATGGACAACCCGCTCCTCCAGGATGGCTCTCAATTGTTCTCAGATCAGCGGGCTTGGTTCGGGGACGAGCTCGGCCTCCCTGGCCACGGACAGGACACTGCCGTCAGTATGCCGCACAAAGGGGCGATGGCTCCTCATGAGATTACAGCAAACATTGGCCATGAAAACGCCGGCCCCAGAGTCTCATCGCCGCCGAATGTCCCATCCCAAGAAGACGGGGTGGCCTTTGGATGGGATCCATCGTCCAAGATGACCCAGCAGACGCAACACGTTCCGATAAGCGAGAGACACCCGTTCTTGCTTCGCCAGCAACATCAGTTCAGCATGGGAGACTCGGTCTGGGCTTCCATACAAGAGTTTTTGAAGCCTCGAATTCCAAACTCGGGCGACTTTATTCTACCGTCATTGGCTGTCGCAAACGCTTTTCTTGGGCTCTTTTTCGAGGAGTTTTATGAGCAGAGCCCGGTTCTGCACTTGCCTACTCTCAACGTAGACTCGCTGCCGCCGCCCCTAATTGTGGCCATGATAGTAATCGGAGCTACGTACAGTCATATTCGGCAGTCCCGACGCTTTTCCACCCTAGTGCTGGATCGAGCACGACAAAATCTTCAACAAAGCATAGAAGCAGACAAGGCCTTGACCAGAGACCCTCACATCCTGTACGCGTATGCGCTGCTGGTCTACATGGGGCTTTGGTGCGGAAACAAAGGAGCTTACGAGGCTGCCGAGGCCTCGCGAGGGGCTTTGGTGACATACATCAGACGGCTTCCCCCGCTGAAGCCCAGGTCCCTCGGCGGTAACCGGAAAGTCGCCGAAGACCAGTGGGAGGGGTGGATAGACTTGGAGTTCAGATACCGTTTGCGCTGGTACGTGTTCATGATTGACATGCAATTCCCAGCCATCTTGAACTTGAGGGGCATGATGTCGCTGGCCGAAGTCTGCAGATGGGAATGCCCGAGCGACGAACAGCACTGGACGGCTTCAGATGCGAAGACGTGGACGCACCTTCTCAACGCCGCGCCGCAGCCATCAACCGTCTTGTTCGCGACGGCTTACCAGGCGCTGTTGACGCCCGACGGAAGCAGCCGGAGCACTTCACCATCTTTACTGCGAAGCTCTGCATTCAGTAGCTGGACTCTTCTTTTGGTTCTGAGCTCCTTGGGCAGCCAAGCCTATGACTGGTCGCATGAATGGTCAATGAATCCTGTCGATGATTCCGAAAGCCCTTTCAACACATCCTCTCAAAATCGCTACTTGGGGGTGAATAGGGGATCCTCCCGGACGGAGCGCCTGAAAACACGGGAGAATATAATTGGTAGGCTCCCTAGTTCTCCTGTTTTGACTTTTGAAACACCATTGACACATGTCTCTTCTTGCAGAGTCAGTCGACGCTTGGCATCATCGATACAACGCGTATAGGGGAACCGGAAGGGCCTCGGGGCCGGACTCATACTTCTTGAGAGCTTCACGCATACTCCATGGCCTAGTGCATATCCACCTCCATACCTCGATATCCCACATCCAAGATGCATTAGGTAAAGGTGGAGATCATGCAGTCCAGGAAGGATTGAGCCGGCTGCAATACTTCTTCGCTCACGGGTATGCTAGCCACGGCCAGACAACCGTAAAACCCCCGCCCGAGTCCTTGCATACTTTTGCGAAGGCTACTGAAAACTGCGTGTCGATCATGAGCGACCAGGGGTTGCGATCGGCAGCTCCTTACAGCATATTTGCCGTATTTCTCAGTCACGTCTTTCTTTGGGCAGTGATCAAGACGAGCTCCGAAACTATAAAGGCTCAAGTCCACCTCTTCCTCCGCGACGCTGCGCCAGCCATCAAGTCTGAACTCGAAGAAGCTCTTGATCGCGCAATCTCCGAGCATAACGATGGTGCTAGAAACGGAGATGGGGGCCGTTTGGTCCTTATGCATGGCGCACAGAGTCTTGTACGACTCGGAACATGGGGTGCAGCACTAAACCTCGCTCGTCTTCTGCAGCTCCGGGCGGCGACGTGAAACAACAACATCGGAAACCAACATATAGTGCCTTGATGTGCCATGTGTCAGTCTAAGAGTAGAATCCACCAGTAATGGCAAAAGGACTTCAACTGTAGAGGCAACCGAAGACCTACTAGATCCTGTAGATACTGCAGCTATGGTTCTTCATAAGGCATTCTTACTTCTGTGCGTCTGTTCATCCTCTCGATGTTGCTGCTTGACAATGTTCGCCGTCCCGAGAACCGCCAAATCTGCTGTGATGTGATCTGCAACTCGAGTCAGGGTTCAGCCAAGAACCATAATGATGGCAGCTGCGCGTACTATACAACAACATGCAATGTCGGCTGGTGCGCGTCGTAATACCAATGCCGGTGAGGTTTGCCTGAAGTGGGCAGGATGCGAATTCAACATTGCCCAGCACCATGTCGGTCGAGGGTTTCCAATATCCCAAAATGATTTCTAGCCAAGGAGGTGATTACGGGAGAAAGTATTGGCTTCTCAATTGCCGTGGTCCTTTGCAACTAAGTTATGAAGTTCGACTTCCAAAGATTGATCCTAATGCCCTAAGCCTGTATGCACATCAAAGCAGCGCCGCTCGATGTTACTATGGTAAAGTGAGTGTTCTTAGTATATATCAAAAAAGGTACCAGACTAGTTTTATACCAGTGGCATCTATGAGGATGACAACCCGAGCATAAAGTACACCAGTTATGTGGGATGGAATTTCGCTCCCAAATAACTGTGTAACTATAGAAAACAACCACGTCATTTTTGTTCGTTCAATACCATTTGAAATGCCTCAACAAACGATTCCTCCCAGTCCCTTTCCGTCTTTCTGGGCTTCCAGCCGAGTTCGGTTGCGAGAACAGGCTTCGTAGCGGAACTGAGAAGCGTCAGTTTCCAAAACGTGTTGAGTTGTTGACAATGCAGAGGACGTGGAATAGATAAGCTTACTTAGACGCGTAGTTCATTTCTGCAACTTGTGGAGTTGCCTTCAACCATTTTGAGGCAGCCTCTTCCAAAGTCACAGACCTAGGCTCGGCCGATTTCAGTGCACCAAGAGCGACGCCGGCTTTACCGACGTGTTCGGCAATATCTCGCCAGTTGTGGCTGCCCGTGTTAGAGAAATATATTCCTCTACGCCCAAACGGAATTTCTTCCGCAGACAAGATCTTTTCAAGGACAAGCTCATATAGAAGAGCGAGATCCGTTACGTGAACATGGCCCAGGCGAGCCTTGCCGTCACCCACGTACTGTGATACCCCGTCCTTGACGGCGCCGCGAATGATGCTGGGGATTTGCATGGAGCTCTGGTTGAACAGTCCCGTCCCGCGGCCATATATAGTGGGAGGCATCATGATGTAGGTTTTGACACCCGTCTTCTCTCCCGAGTTCACGACGGCAATGTCTGTCGTGCGTTGACCATAGGCTTCTTCCTTTTCTTTCTTCTCTTCAAACTCGAACACGTTCTCCAAGTCAGACCATTCGTGAACCTCTCCTATCTCCTTGTTACTGGCTCTTTCAGCAAGGTTGGAAGTTCCGGATGTCTGTCCTTTATCAGTTTACGATTTCTGAGCCTGTGTGAGATTGTTTGATACACACATGGATAAAATGAACGTTCTTTCCGGTCTGTATCTTGCGCTGCGCGAGTCCCTCGATGAGTGCCACTGCCGAACTGGTGTGGAAGCCAGTTGGTGTATGAATGACGTAGTCATACTCGCTGGCTGTCTTTCTCAAGAAATCGGAGTCATCGAGCCCTTCAAAAACGAGAGCTTCGACCCCTTTCTGCTTCAGTAGGTTGGCTTGCTCTTGCTTTCGAACTAGTACAGTAATGTCTAGGTTCCTGATCTCTGAGTAAGAGCTATTGAGAAGCTGTGACAGAACGCTGCCGCCTCTAAATCATCTATTAGCCAAGTTATATTGCAGAACGGGTTTCTACGGGTAGTCAGCATACACAAAGCCAGTGGCACCTGTGTAAAGGAGCTTTTGGCCCATTGTGAGTGTCGTCCGGGGTAGAGCAATTCGGACCTGATGATGGGACTTGCGAGTTTTCGTTCAATGAAGCTCAATGTTTTTTTCGGGGTTTGAAGAAATGTTTCAAGGTGCCAATCCACGATGAGGTCTGAACGATATATTTGTATGACTTTTACGGCTTGAGCTGTAATTAGGAGGCCAGGTCTGGAATTACGCGGGATTTGTATTCCGCTAAACCGGGCCGTGGCTGCTGACATAGTTTACCCCGCGGGACCGGGAATTACCAAAACAACCCAGCCTCAACCACGCCACGGCATTCAAGACAAACTCAACTAATCCGCAATGCTTGACGTCATAGAATGGTGCCACGGAACGCAAGTCGTGCTGATATTTGAATTCTATTGCACAGTATTCATGCTTCACCAATTCATAAGCAGTAAGGTGACGTTTGTTTTACGACAGTCCTCGTTTCTGTGCTACCGGGCCGTAAAACCTGCCGATTGCACTGATTGATGGGAAAACTTCCTTTCCAGCTTCCCTCTGTAGTACGAAGGCGAGAAATTCACCAAAAGCTTATACTATGTTAGCTGGCCTGTCGTCAGGCGACGTCTCATAGGCCTCAGGTCAAAAGCAACGGTTGAATTCAATCGCATTTCATTGGTGTTGAACAGTTCCGTGTTGTCAAGAAGGCCGATTCTTCCACCTAATACATCAGCACCCTTCTGTGTCAACTTTGAAGGCGCTAGCAATATAATACACACTGCAGGTAGGTGGATTAGTAACACTGTACAAATGTATGGGCCACGATGCCGATTTGAGCATTTACCATGCGCCTCTCAGGGGTAATTTTTGATCTGTTTGGGGAGACTTTATTAGAAGGGGAATGGTATTGGAGAAACAGATTGTAGTTTAATGATAACTTTCTATCCGAGAGCAAAAGCACAATAATGCCTCCTGACTGCAACGGCCACAAGAACTAGCCGGGGAGAGTACACATCGACCGTCGTCTTTAGCAGGTGACGTCTTCCAAATGATGCAGGGTAAATGAGGCTAGTTCTGAATACTTTGTATGTTAAGTAAAGTTATGAGTTCTCAATGATATTTATGGCCAGTGGATATAACATGTCTAAGTTATAAGCACTCTATGCATCGCCGATCCCGTCAAAGAACTCCTCATCCAAAAGTGAGTACAGAACCTTCTGGCCCTCCCACTGCTCCTGGGCAGCCCCAAGTATGCGGTCAGGAGGCAGTACGAAGCCGTAGTCACCAGTGTCTGGAAGCTCAATGGTGTACGAGAAGTCGGCCCCGCCAATCACGTAGACATGATCCGGCGCAGCGCCAGTGGTGGTGTAGAGTGTAGCCCCACTGGGTCCGAATGTGAAGGTTGTGCGTCTCTCGGAGCTGTCGCGGATAACCTCGCTGAGAACAGACGCAGTCTTGGTCCACTTACCGAGGTCGGGAGCATACAAAGTCTCGTTGGAACCAAACGGTGAGAGAATATACTGGCCATAACTATGCCAGCCGATGTACAGCTTGATACCACTGCTGTCGCGGAGCTTGCGGACGTAGGCGTCGAGGCCTTGGTTCTCGATGGTGTCGGACGGCTTTTGGCCACGGTAAGCTTGCGCGCACGAGTTGGTGGACGCGCCAAAGGAGTTGGCATTCCATCTTTACTCCCAATTCCTGTTGATGTCGATGCCATAGCAGGTCTGGTTCAAAGGTGGTGGGGTGCGAGTCTTGCGCCAGAGGCGGTCGACTTCTTGGGAGTAAACAAAACCTTCATACAGTTAGCATAGACGTTTAAATGACCATTGGCAGATAGCTACATACCATCAGGGTTCACAACGGGGAAAATGTGGAAGTCGTATTGTTTCGATATAGAGTCGGTAGCCTTGGTGGCATTCTGGTGGGCCTTAATCAACTGGAGAGTGATGTATTCAACAGCCTACGAGTGAGTTAGCTTGTGTTGGTCTATGGATGATTGTTTTGGGGTATTCACCGGAGCTGAAATCCATTCTCTTGCGTGCACAGTTCCGCGGTTATGTTAGCCCAAGCTCTGCGAGTTGAGTAGTCCAGGCACGAAACTTACTGTTAAAGCACGGCAGGCTTTCCAGGACCCTCATCGCCAAAAAGGTGGATCCCATGAATGGAAAGATTCTCGAACGAACGGCCGGAGTAGACCAGCTTGGAGTTATTGGGAAAAGCATCGTGGAGATCGGCGAAGTAGCGAACATGGTCCTCGTACGGGTGGTAAGAATCGTACCACGAGAGGTCACTGACGTCGCGCTTGTAAGTGCTGCTGCTCTGGGACTCAGCGCTGATCGACTCGCCGAGATCCTTACGCAACACGCGGAAGTCGAGGCCGAGCGCTCCTATGGTCTCGACTTGGTCGGGGGAGATGACGATGTCTATGTGTGTTTCTACGTCGTGGTTCCATTGTTCGTGTGGAATTGAAGCCAGCCTCTTTTGCACAGATGCCAGTTGGCTTAAGGTCTTGACGCGGAGAACCTGATATCCATCGTAAGACACCGGGCTTCTCTTGTTGAAGTTGAAGCCTGCGGCGAGGGTTGCCAACACTGAATTGACAATTGCAGTCTTCATCTCAGCAACTAAAACACGGATGTCAAAGGATTGACAAACAGCGGTCGAAATTTGCGACCGCTACCTTTCGTCGCTTTTTAAACTTGAGGGCTATGCATCTTGCCTCCAACACGTCCGGACTTTGGTCTGTAAGCGCCGAGGCCTATGATAGTTGGCACGATGACTGCGTGCTAGTAACAACCTGGGATGTAAGATAGGTGCCCAGGACAGATCGCCGTTGCGATATCTTACCGATAGTTAGGGTACACATTACACATCTTAAATGGACGAGTGAACATTCTCAATGTCTCCCAAAGAGAAAAAATGGAATAAAAGAACCCCCCTCCCCTCTGGTGATGATGATGATGTCTTAGGCTCAGTATTTTGCTTTTGCGTTTGCTTTTTTGAGCCATGCCAGCCTCATGAATTACTTTGAAGAATCCAATGCTAGATCGCTTTGGAGAAAATTACAATGGTGCTGGGTAAAAGTGTCATTTCACCGCCTTGTGATACGTAACGCTCATGTGCATTATCACGTAACAACGGCATTCCAGAGTACGAAGCGAACTCCACGAAAGCCCCCGGCTATGATTCCCTAGAAGAGCGGTAAGACTTTCTTTTCGTTCGGTCGCTGCGTATGACGTATGGAGTGTTTGACCTTCCCATTTGACTCTAGCAAATGCATGGCATTTCTTGATCTCCTCAGCAAACTCCAGTTTTCATAATCTTTCCTGACTATGACGTTCTCCAGCCCCGATGACGAACTTCTCCAGTGATTGAGGAACATAATCCCCACGACGTGATTGTAATATCTTTTCAATTGCCTTTAGCGCGTAATCATTCTTGAGCCTCCGTTTTGCGTGTTTCAGGATTTGCGGAACTTCTGACTGGTTGATGACCGGGTTCCCCTCTCGATATGCTTGGCTATCGGGGATCAAACGAGGTTATTGGCTTGGGCAGCGGCAAAAGGATTCCACCCCGGTGTGATTGTGTACGAATAAACTAGTTCTTGATGCAGGTTCGGACCGCAAATTATGCTAGCCTGTCATCGTGAAAGCCGCAACTGACAATACCCGGGTCCCTGGAATTACTATGGGGCAATACGGTACTTGTAAGATATCATATTTGACTACTCCTTGCATCAGTAAAACCCATCTTGGCGCAAGCTTTACGGTTTCTGTGCAAACTCCGGCCATGGTGGTTGCGTACATCGGACGAGCACCTCTGTATTTGGGTGCCAAACGATCGAAAGACTTTGAGGGACGACAGATATTCTGATGTTGACAAGACGATCTGTAATCTTCTTCCCACCAGCACCTCTTTTGGCTGTGATTTTCGCATGGCTGACTGGGCCAAAACGCTAACTCAGATATGCTTTCCTTACATATGCCAAGGGCGTTGCAGAGGTGATCAATGTTGCACTGTCACCTAATTAACGTTGCCACCGAGTTTTCATACCTGATTCGACAAAGTTCTGTTCAATCCACCCAGATCATAATCTTCGCTCTTGAAATCGTCTAGCTCCAGATCAATTAGACTGGCGATGCTACAGACAAGTGCGTTGAGCACAATTGGCGAATGCTTTCTGAGGTTGAGCAGTGAACACTGACACACTGCTTTGTATTGCGCATATTACCTTGTGTTGCAGCTAGCCAGCACCGAGGCCAGAGACCGCAGCTAGGCCTCCCGGAGTACATGCATTGATCTCTCCGCGTCAAAGCTGTTCACTTGGTTTTATACCTGTGTAACCTTAAGAGGGACCGCTTTGATTACGAGTATTAGTACCGTATCCACTCGTTAGATTCGTACACTGCACTGACCACCCACTAGGCCTTTTTCGAAAGGCGGTCAACCAGCCCACCCACCCACCCACCCACCCACCCACTTGCCCACTTGCCCACTTGCCCACTTGCCCACTTGCCCACTTGCCCACTTGCCAGCCAGCCAGCCCATCAACCAACCCACCAACCCACCACGATATTCACGATGCCCGACCGCCTGCCGCTGGGCGAAATCAACCCAAATATTACACCACCGTCACGCAAGAAGATGGGCAAGAAGCTTACGCCTATTGCCAACCGACGATATACAGCAACCAAGCCAATCAAGCGAGTTGAACGGTCGTATGGGCGCCAAAGGCAGGTAGAGGTCTTGCTATACCTTGAGCACCACCGTTACCCCATATACCCTGGCCAACGGCTGCAACAACGGGCTGGCGATACTCCTTTGGACCCTGCCAACGGCCTCCGCCGCCCTACCCTTCGTGAGGCAGCTGCCCACTTCAAGATACCGTTCACAACAGTGGCTACTTGGTATCGTACGCGAGATACTATTGTTGCCCCAACTGTACACTATAAACCAAAGTGGCCAGCAATAGAAGCTAACCTCTATAGTCACTTCCAGAAACAACAAGCCTATGACAAGGTTGTTACCACTGGATGGTTCAAGCGGGAGGCCCAGGCCCTTTTCGCTGCCAAATATCCCAACACCTTCATCGCTGGCAATCCTCCAACCCACTTCTTCCGATTCTCTCCAGGCTGGTTCAGTGGCTTCCTTACACGATGGAACATTTCACACCGCCGGCTTACAAAACAAGCCTCAAAACTGCCTGCCGAGTACCTTGCTATCGTCACCAGCTTCCTCCACTTCAACCGACGGGTTAGTCAGCCCTCACTTGCCCGCCAGCCCATTAGTGGGCTCCAATTTCCACCCGACCGCATCGTCAACTTCAACAAGACCCCCATACCCTTTGAATACCTCGATGGGTCAACGTGGGCAGCCAGAGGGGCCCATACTGTGGCTGGCAAGACCGACCGTAGTGGCTGGAGTAAGCAACAAGCCACTCTTATCCTCTATATCTTCGCTGATAGGGTTCAACGGCTGCTGCCCAAGTTGATTTTTCATGGCAGGCCTACTAACGTGGGTGGCCAACTTGAGGCACGTGAGAGTGACTTATACAGTAAAGAGGTAACAGTTGAATATAACAATACAGCTTACAATAATGAGTATCTTCTTGGGCAGTGGTTAACTAATGAATTCTTTCCCCTTACAACAGGGCAAGAATACCTCTTAGTTATGGACGTTGCTACCTTTCACAAGACCCCTACGATACTATCACAACTTCGCTCTCATCACATCACACCTTGCCTTATACCGCCTGGCACAACCTCCCTCCTTCAACCTCTTGATACTGCTATCAACAAGCCCTTTAAGCAGTGGTTATCTGAAGCAACAGACGAATATACGTGGCAAATGGAGCAAGCTGCCGCCTGCCAGCCCAGCCTGCCCATCAAGTGGTCCACATCAATGAAACGCGTTATGGTTACCCATACTGTTGCAACAGCTGCCCGTCGCCTAGCTGAAAGGGGCGAGATGGTCCGGCAATCCTTTCTTCAGTGTGGGATTAGTGGTAACCCAGATGGAAGCGACATTGACAAGATTCGGATCAAGGACATACCGAATGAGAAGATATCATGGGATGGTTGGGATAACTTCAACTGCAACGCCTACATCAAGAAGGAAATGACCCAAGAAGAGATATCTGACGTCAATGCCAATAACGACAGCAAAGAGTATATATCTCTAGTTGAAGACGTCCAGCAACCCATTAGAAATAGTTCAACAAGGCCATGGGAAATCTAGAGGAAGGGAGGGAGGACATCCAATGCCAACCATAAGGTTTTTTGCTGGACTTTGCCACCTAACTTGCTGCTGACGTACATGACTAACCCCTGCATTTGCCACTTCTAGATCCTTGTTTCTGCCAGCCCGCTAGGCCTTATCCAGCAGCTCGTGGTCAGTGCAGTGTACGAATCTAACGAGTGGATACGGTATCTCGGTCAAAGCCTCGGACCTAGATCACTGCGCGGTAGCGTATAGTACTTAATTCGTTTTGCTCGCTAAGTAAGCTACTATGTGTTTCGTCATTTCCAGGATGATACCATCGGAATCCTCCTTGATCAATTGTTGATGTTATGATAATGAAGTATGGTCTGAGGCGTATTACGAGGAATGAATACAGTATCTAGACTCAATATGGGGTGCATCTTCCGGAGTGGGAATCAAATCTCCGTAAGGTATTATTTGCGAGGCTTCAGTGACTGGATTGGGGACCAAGAGGCGCCACATTGTCATGCTAGACAACTTCGTAGGTCTTGAAAAAAGCAACAATGGTCGGCGGCCATGAATCCAATAAGTAGAATCCTGCCAGCAACAACCGAAAGGATCGCTGTAGGATTGCATTTGCATAGTAAATATTTTCCTGGCTTCTATCACATCTTAACCTGCATCATGCTGGAAGTTAGTCGTCGATAGTCGAGGGAGATATATTAATTGCCGATCCGTAACAGATGGCAGGACGCCTTTGCCTTGTCTCGGCTCACAACAAGAGCAGACGACCTAGAATATATCCAATGGAGCCAATCGTCACTCACACCAAGTCATAGGTGGACATAGATTATCCGAGTCTTTAGCTGCATGAGCAGCTTTCGTCGGCCCCTGGTCATGAGTCGAATCGATTACCCCCCTTCTGCTATATAGTTACACACGAACATGACTGTCCAGAGCTAGCGACGATTTAAGAATCTCATCCGAGCCTCCGGCCGCTTAGCCTAATCGCACGCACGTTGTCTTAGTCCGTGTGGGGGGTGAGCGGAGCGAATGAGAGATGTCAACACGGCCTACGCGATGCATCCCACGGATTCAAAGGTGATAGGGAAGAAACTGCACTGCTTTTCTGACCAAACCGATAGAGAGGCGTCCAATAACCACCAACACTCCCCCACCTTTGATAGCGCCTCAACTGATGGCTGCAGAGTGAAACGTTTCCCTTCTTTTCGCCAACGGGCCGCATGAACAACCCGACCAGCCGCTCTTCCAGACGGCACTAGCCAACCATGAGCGAGGTAATGTCCGTTCTGATGCCTGGGCTCCCGGAGCCGTCGGCCACCACCGCGTGGGTTCACTGCATCATTTGTGTGATGTCCCCCTCTTTATAAAAATCGATGTCTCGGCCAGCCAGCACAATCACCTGCTGTCTTCAACGGTCTTTGCATAATCTCTGCACTCGCACGTTTTCTTGTTCCTGCACCGACCGGAAACCAGCACCCGTCACACAAGAGGGCCTCTAACGATCACGAAGTAGGAAGCGCCTCCCTTGATGGCCTCACCACCGGATTCCAGCCCGCCCCGAGTACGGTCCGAGGCTGGTGATCGAGAGACGGAAGACCAAGCACCGACAATTGAGGCTGACCCGCAACTCGCCGTCGCGGTCGATGACGATGACGGCGACTCCGCCATAGATTCCGCCAGCGTCATCTCATCCACGGCCTCCCTGTCTGAAAGCGTCTTCGATTATCGCCAGCTCCACGGCCGGACGTACCAGACGACTAGAACGACCGAGTACTGGGCCCCAAACGACGATCAGCAGAATGAAGGGCTCGACATCATCCACAACGCACTCCTCATGCTGTTCGACGACGCGTTATTCCTGGCTCCGATTGGAGACGATCCTCAGCGCGTTCTTGACGTCGGGACAGGCACTGGAATCTGGGCGATTGACTTCGCCGACCAATTCCCCAACGCCGAGGTCACCGGCACCGACATCAGCCCCATCCAGCCGGGGTGGGTGCCGGCCAACCTCCGCTTTGTCATTGACGATTTCCTTCTTGACTGGACGTATCCCGAGAACCATTTTGACTTCATCCATATGCGGCAGCTGTATGGAAGCGTGCCGAACTGGGTGGACTTGTACAAGAAGGCGTACCACAGCCTCAAGCCAGGCGGTTGGGTCCAGAATCTCGAGATCAACGCCGGGATCGACTCCGACCACGTCGAATACCCCCTGGACCACGTGTTCATTGAGTGGAACAGGATATTTGACCAGGGTGGAAAGAAGACAGGGCGGTCTTTCACCGTGGCGCAGGGCCACACTATGATGGACAATATGAAGGAGGCGGGGTTCGTGGACGTCGTGGAGAAGAAGTTCAAGCTACCTATCCATGGGTGGCCCAAAGATCCGAATCTGCAGCAAGCTGGATTACTGATCCAGTTAGCGCTTGAGGAAAGCCTCGAAGGTTTCGGCACCTTCTTGTTGACCCAGGTCCTCGGATGGTCTCAGCCCGAAGTAATGGTTCTTACTGCGCAAATGCGGAAGGAGATTAGGATGAGAGCAAACTTTGGATATTGCGAAACGTAAGTCCATCTATGGATGTCGTCATTGTGAATATAGCTAACTATGAACCCAAAGCACGGTTGTCTACGGACGTAAACCATGACTGGAAGGAGAAGTGATTAGAGACCAACACTACCTTTCTTGCAGAGAGGTATGATGACCGCCAGGAGCACCCTTGAATTCCACTATCACCAGCATGGAGCAAAGAGTTGCGGTATGGGCACGAGTTTTTAACATACAACAGTATGGTTTTCGTGAAAGAGAAGGGCAATTGGACATGTATGTGAGAACGCGAGTTACGAAATCAGTGGCCCTATTGCCTGCGAAAGGAACTTTTTTGTGCGAAACAATATGGATGAATGTGAAATAGCAGGGTAATCGACCAAGATGTGAGCCACATAAATCATTGATCGGCAATATAGTCGGCACAAAACATGCATTTGATCATCAGGTTTTTGACAGCCTTTTTCAGTTGGGGGTTTTAATGAGTCCAATCCCCCACATTGATAGCATTAGGGCCGTTTTCGAAAGTGTTGAGTGACACTCAGATTTTATATCAGCGGCGAGAAAATCGAAAACCCGGACAATGAAAGAGTGACATATCCGAAGCTCTAGCAATACATCAAACAGCCTCGCTTGCCTCGGCAGATGGCAGTGAATACGAAGCTGTGCCGACATCAATCATCACGAGAACCATCGACAGGGTCAAAATCCATAATTACGCTCGCGTAAAGTGCAATGAAGACCTTTTCTCGCACAAGAGGTAAAATAGTGAAATACGTTTGATTATTTGTATAGAAACCTTTGGCCTTTGACGTCCTGAACCCTCGTCGTCCTCGACAGCACCCGTTTTCCGACCCAAAAGAACGGAACCAGCTACACATAGTCAGCAGCTATCTCGGAATCCCGAATGAGAAACTAAAGCGTGACGCACCAGCCCTTGGGCCGCGACTCAATTGGCATCACAGCTGAAGAGAACGCCGTCCTTCTTGTCCGAGGTCTCACAAGCCTTGTTGTTTTCGGACTTGCATTCCGTGCTGTCGGGCTTCACGTCCTTGGCGCAGCAATAGTCGCACGCCGTGTTCTGCACCACGGCGCCGCAGTTCTTGGGCGCCATGCAGTGGCGGCGAACGAGAGCGTTGTAGCCCTCAAGCCCGTCCGAGGACGGCATCGCGACCGCGAGAGGCAGGAGGGCAAGGAGGAAGCGGAAGGCGACCATTTTCCGTGTTTGGATCTTGTACAGACTGTAGGTTTGCACACAGGTAGCTTAGACTAGACTAAACGCCGTATAATGGGATATTGACTAGATCTGATTGAAGAGAGATGTGCCTCACTTCAGATGCCAGAAGTGGAATGTCTGCCCTTTTATGTGCAGCCTCGTTCTCTCATCCCACGCTCCCAAGTCGAAATTTCACAAGGCATATTTCCTAAGGCATATTTCCTAATTCCGCGCTCTACCAGCGTGGGCTATACTTCTGAGTCTCAGGTTCATTCGTGAAGAAAGTTTGCCCTAGAGACGACGCGCTATTCCCGCTGTCGGCTATTAGAGGCCAACCTTATCGGACACATTGGAGGTTACGGAGAGTTCTGAGGACCTACGAGGTTGAATGGAACTTTGAGTTACGAGGGAGGCAAGAAGGTCAACTCTATACCCCCTATGCAATCGCTCCATATGAACGAGGCGATGTTGGAAGCAGGCTCGAGGCGCATCCTCATGGTGATTCATTCGCGAGTCTGAGGCTAAGCCTTGCCTGCGCCTGGGGTAGGGGTCTCAAATGTCGGGAGGTTACGAGTTATACTTTACGCTGTTGAGACTGAACTCTCTCCCCGTTGGATGTGAAATGAGGGGGATTCGAGGCTATTCTACCTATGTTTTTTTATCTCGTCTGAAGTTGTTTTTACAGGGCATTGGGCGCCCCTCGGTTTGGTTGGGGTAGCTCGTCCCGAGACTGCGTCGTCATCTCGGGGCTCGACACGGCTCACTCGGCGCACCTGTCCAGGGATGATCGTCTTGCTGATCCCCAGTGATCAGCGAACTGCATCCTTGGCCCTGGGAGTGTACGTCGGTGTGACGGGACCCCGCCTTATCACTCCGTCTCCTCGGCAGCCGGCATACACGGGTGAATTGTTATGCTTGCTGCGATTAGCTTCATCGGTTTCGGGCGATGCAACATTTCCTCTGAGAGCCCGGCGCGAATGGCACGGACGCTGTCCTGTATCTGGTATTCGATTCTCCTAATATGCTATAGTGAGACTCATCGAGCACCTTCTGGTTCCTAGGGCAAACCCTATCGACGCCAGATGTTGAAAGCATGGAGGAGAGTGATCGACACGCACTGGATGGGGCAGGTCGGATATACAATCATGCACTCATGTATCCCGAGGCGAGCTTGACGGTCATAGTATGCGGTAAATACGAAACCTTTTTTACTAGCAGGTTCCTGTTCCTACAACTTAGCCATCCTCATCCTTATCCCCTGATACAACTAGAGATGATGACCTTTCTACCGGGTGGACTTACCCACAGCCCAAACATGACAGAAAACTAAGAACTAAGTCTACCGGATCTAGAGATACATATGAGATACAGATAATGATACACGAGATATAATACAACTATGTCTTTACGTTGGCATTTATGAATTCAAATTCCTTGTAGTGGGTCTTTGCAAGCTCTTTCGTCGTCCAAGCCCCAATCGTTTCCACCGCATCCTGGGGGCTTTCCAGGTGCACCTGGAAAAAGCCCTGCAGCTGCGAAGGCGTGAACGTATCCTCGGGTATCTTGCTAGAGAATTGCGCCGCGAGGCTCCTGATCTCGTTCATGTCGAGATGCGACGTGCACCCCAGGTCAGGCGAGAACATGCGCACGAACATCTCCTCCGCCGACCGCCGGCTGATGTTGCCGAGGAGGACCTTCATGTCGACGCGGCCCGGGCGGACCAAGGCACTGTCAAGCTGCTCGGGCCGGTTCGTAGTCATGATGACGATGCGGCCCTCCTGAGACCCTACGCCGTCCAGGACATTCAACAGGCCGGAGAGCGTGCAGTTGGGCACGCTGCTACCTTCCGGCGAATTCGCTCTGCCGCTGCCGTTGCCGTTGCCATTCCTGTCTTGGTTGTTGGAGCGTTCCACCCAGACGGCGTCGATGTCCTCGAGCAAGACCACGCACCGCGGCGGGATCTCTTGAAACATCTGCTCGAGGTCCGCGTCCGTCGCAACGCTGGGGATCTTGACTTCGTACATATCTAGCCCGAACTCGCCGGCGATGGCCACAGACAGAGAGGACTTGCCGGTCCCCGGCGGTCCGTAGAAGAGGTAGCCCCTGCGGTACGGCATGCTGCGGCTTTGGTAACGCATCTGAGTCTTGGGGTCCAGGTAGTTCCTAATGTCGGCGAGCAGCTCCTGCTTGACGGCGTGATCAAAGTGGACGGTGTCGAGGTGGCGGAGGGGCTTGCGGGCCTTTGGCTTCCACGACATACCATAGCGGTCGCGGGAGTAGATGATGACGAAGTACTGCGTCTGCCTGTCGGCATACTCGCGACAGGTCTCGATGAAGGCCTGCACGGGTTCCACAGACCACCCGAAGCAGCTGACGGTCAAGTCTTCGCCGCCGATGCCGTCGTAGCTGGGGTCCGACAGGGCGGAAGTGAAGTCCCCGACGGCGCGGGTGACGACCAGCAGGCTGCCGCCGAACCAGAGCCACTTCGAGTGCCAGTGCGGGCTGTACTGGATCGTGTGACGGGTCTTTTTCAGCGCGGCGGCGCGGTCTGGGCTGGCGCGTCCGACCTCGGTGCGCCCCGTGAAGGACCGGTAGTGCTGGGGCCGGTGCGCGAGGACCCATTTCACGACGCTCCGGTTGACTGGGTCGCCGCCGGGGATGGTCACGGAAGCGAGGAAGAAGCGTTTGATGCAGCCGTAGGCCTCGCGCCAGGCTTGATGCAGAAACCGCCAAGCGGTCGGGACTGTACCGGCGATGGCGATGAGAGAGCCGATGTGGGTGATGTCGAGCTCAGACCATCGGGCGAGAACGTCTCTCATGACACCAACTCCGTGAGACCACGGGTCGAGGAGGGTGTGGCTTGCGCCTGTGATATGAAACTGGTGAGCCATTGTGGCGATCCACTCATCCACGTCGAGCGAGGTCCCTTGAATCGATGGTCCGCAGGCGCGAGAGGCACCCCAAGCAGGGGTGCCGGGGGATCGAGGGATCCGGGGGTATCAAGGCGAGATATAGTCGTGCGCCCTCTGAGCCGGACACGAAGCCGAGGCAAACAAAGCTTTGAGAAAGAAGCAAATAAGGTGGGATAGAAAAACAAACAGATCAATTAACGCATTTTGATGGAAATGAACGACAAGAAGCGGAACAATACAGCAGATAAGACGGCTCAGGAGGTCGTAAGCGACGAAGTCGGCGTGGAATCTTGTCCGAGGGATGCAGAAGTTTTTTGGTGCTGAGCATAAGCGCAAGCCACAGGTATTATGCAAAAGCCACACCAAAAACGAAAGCCACATCCAACCGAGCGACGCTGTAAGCAGCTCTCTATTCCTCGCTCGGATTAATATTCTTCCGATAGCAAAAGGTGGATCGCAGACGAAGCCAAGGGTGTTTTGTTTTTTTTTACCTTTTTTTCAGAGGCGTTTCCATTTTACTAGCAGAAAAGGTACCCTGGAGTGCAAAGTACCCTGGAAAAGGAAAAGTCGCTAAAAAGAATTGTCGTGGCCTAGGCTGCTACACATGCTGGGGTATAGCGCATCACAGCGTAAGAAAGAATAGTCATATTAGACTAGGAGGCCTATTAAGATGGATAATAGTAACAAAGCAGGCCCTTGTTTCATGACGCTGATGTCTACCATCTATAATCCTTATGTCTATCCTATATCATGCATTCATGGTATTGCAAACGCGGAACCGACTCTTCGTGACATACAGACGTATAGACACATCATGACACACCCTTTACCTATGTGCATGAGAGGCAATTTTACGCATGGAAACTTGCATTTTCCCAACTCGAATGTTTACACCGCCGCAAGAAGCTGGGGGTTCAGCCGCCATCTTGCAGCCGCAACTGTGGCGGCACCAACGATGAGGGTAGCCCCTGTCCACATGGACAATGCAAGATATCCCGAATGGGCGACAATTTGCCCACTGATCGGAGGCCCGACGAGTCCTCTGTCAATTCTTGTCAGCGCTTCCCATTGCGAGTAAAAGACTGATCGAATAGTTCGGGGATCTTACGTCACTGCGATGGATCCCATGGCGAAGCCGATGGCTGAGCCCTGGTTGCCTTGGCGGACAATCTTTCCTACGCATGCGCTCTGCAAACTGATGACGGCCTGCGAACTGTGTGTCAGATTGTTGCTGCTGGGGAGGGGATTTATCCCGATAAACTCACTCCGGAGCAGAACCCGTACGCCAGACTCCAAACAGCCAACCCGGCCAGGGAGGCAGCTGCCGTCCAACAGAAACCAACGAGGCCGGCCGAGAATACTGCCAGCGCGAGAACGTTGAAATGCCCGTATCGGTCCGCGAGGAGTCCAGGTATGACTCTACCAAAGAGGGACGCCCCATTGAGTCCAGATAAGAGGTAGAAAGCCGTCGACGAAGGAATCCCATTGGATATGCCGAATGCAGACACGAAAAATAAAGGAGTGAAAAGGCCAAAGTAGCCTAGGGCAAGCCCGCCGCACAAGAGAATAAACGTCTTGTTCTTGAGGATGGAAAAGCTGGACTTTTGGTCAGGGTGTTGATCTATGTTTGTTGAGGATCCGGTCGCCTTCTCGTTGCCGTCGGACGATGATTCTGGAGGGGCCAGCGAAGTCTTGGGTGCCGGTGCATCGGCCACCGTGAGGCACGCCACGATCAACAGGGGCATCATGGTAAAGCCGACGGCGCGCATCGTCCAGGCGAAGCTCACTTTTTGGAAGTTGAGGAGCTGCTCGAGCATAATGGGCCAGATGATGCCGCCGAGTGAGGAGCCACTGATGGTCAAGCCCAGAGCTAGGCCTCTACGGTGAGGCATGCGGCGGGAAACGACGGCAATAGGAGGGCAAAAGACAAGAGACGAGCTGATGCCGAGGAGAACACCCTGAGATAAAAATGCCTGGTAATATTGGGTACAGAGAGAGGTCATGAAGACAGCAAGGAGCAGGCCAACACTGCCAATACACATGGGAACCTGGTTCATGTTAGACCAACGCTAAATCAAGGGATGCAACGCATGATACCGTAGGGCCCAGTCTATCGCACAGGATGCCTGATATCGGCGCACCGAGGAAGGATATGCAGATGGATACAGAACCAATCCATGCGACGTCGGATTCGGACCTTGTAAAGCGATTCTGGTAGTACTCCTGGAAGACGCCAAAGGCGTTGAGGAAACCGACGGTGCAGAAAAGCGAAAGGGATGAGCCGAGAACGGCCAGCCATGATCGGAGGCTGATCGCAGGCAAAGAAGTCAGCCTTTGTCCAGGGTTGCGTCGGAGAGGAGATTGGCATACCGATCGTAACCCGCAGGTGGACGAGCTGCTTCCATGGTTTTATTCTTGACGTTGCTGCTCGGAATATTAATAATAATCAATGGTCAAGTTACTTGACGATGGGCGCATATGCCACGCTTCTGGTCCTTCTCAATGATTGCAATGAGAAAGAGAAAGAATGACCACGACGTAGCTGGACATTCTTTCCTTGCATTTATATCAACTAGTTTGACCACTTCGTCGTAGCGTCTTAGTGGGAAGGAGCGAGAGTGGCATTGGGAAGGGGAAGGAGGCGCCGTTAGCGCCGTGGATGATCCGCGGAGGCAAAACATGTCCTGCTATCCGCGGAAGGTCCGCGGGGCGGTGCTGCCCTGCCCCGGACTCTTGACATGAACACCAACACCAACATCACCGAGATCCAGCCCGTTCACTTCTGCCTAGTCGACATCGTTGAAATCCAGTATGAAGCGCCGTGCAGATTTCGAGCCGAATGATTCAGGAAAACAACGCCGACAGCCCCAAGTCTCGTGCGACTCGTGCCGGAGGAAGAAGCTCAAATGCGACCGCGGCAATCCATGCTCAAGCTGCGTAATCCGTGGTTTGCCTTGCACAGGACACCCGAATCTTCATAATCCGGTTGCAAAATCGAGGTGCGTATGCTTCGTGATTTGATCTTACCGATTTGAAGTTCTGACTGGTCGGCAGCAATGCGGCTTTGGTCCCTGGCATCGGCAGCGATGACTCCATCCTGGGTCGACTACGGAAACTTGAGCAGGCCGTGTTCGGCTCTGCGGCGCCTACCGGAGCTTCCGCGGACCAAGATTCTGTGGGAATCGAGTATGAAAGTGACGGGAGACAGACAAGCAATCGGCAGAGGATTCCTAGCCCTTCCAGCCAGCGTCAGTCACAAGAGCCCTTGCGACCCAACGAGAGGCAACAAACAGCAATGTTTCTTGATTCAACCTTTACACGCAATGGTCTCAGCGTAAGATGGACACAGCCAACGTCTAGGCGAGCGATATTGTCATTTCGTCGTCCAAATACTAAAATTTCTAGATCACCCTTCCGTACGACAAGGTCGATTACCATGTTGCCCATGTCTCTCAGCTCCCAAAGACGCCCGCAAGCACAACCACAGGCCAGACTCCTAGCGACTTCACCTCCACCCGACTGAGCGCCTGGTTCATGACACACGACGAAGCCCTTCTTCTGCTCCAAGACTTTGTCGACCACCCCTTCCATCTCCTTACCATCATACATGCCCCGGCTGCAAGGTCGATTATTGACAACTTCTACCAAAGTCTCGCCTTGAGCGAAGACCCTAATCCGGCGCATGCTGCTTTAATTTTAAGCATTACGGCAACAAGTGCTTTCTTTTCTAATGAAAGCTTCAAATCAATTGACCTTTTCGCATCTACCGAAGAGGCGACACAGACTGCGTTGAGTTGGCTCAAGTCTGCTTTCAGCATCCTAGAGAAATCAAGTGACTCCAGTAGTCTGGAAGAAGTCCAGGCAAGATCCGTGCTGTCCTACCTGGTATACAACATGGAGGGCTGTTCGGCCCGCTATAGGTACATGCATGGCTGCTCGCTGGTGGCTGCCCGGGAGATAGGTCTGCACTTGATCGATAGCCCGTCATCAGCGCAACAGGACGATGTTATCACGAGGGAAATCAAGCGAAGGCTCTGGTGGCATATCGTGTCGAATGACTGGCAGGTTTAATCTCTATTTCTCTGGTTTCGACATACTTACCGGTTTACAGGATGCTTGGCTTGATGGGTGGGCCAACAGACGGAACGTACAACGTGCAACCAAGACAGATGAATGTCAAGTATCCTCGCAACATCAACGACGATGAGGCTAGTCTTTCAAACGAGACATTCACAATGCCTCCAGATACAGCCACCGCGCAGAGCTGTTCTATCAAGCGAATCCAGCTCTCGGAGATCGCTCGGTCCATCATCGATGCCAGAGTTCCAGGAGTCCCGGACGCCGAGGTCATTGACTACAATAAGGTTCTCGAGCTCGACAGGCTTTTCGAGGACGCTTTCTCCAATTTTCCTCCTTTTCTTTGCCCGGATGGCCCGATTTCCAGCGACGCCCCGCGCTATCTTGCCCTTCAAAGAGATGTTGTTCTCCTTGGCTTCCACTCTCGACGGGCACGGCTGCATCGCCCCTTTCTCTTGCATGACAAGCAAGACACTCAATACCAACAGTCGCGGGAAACTTGCCTACGGTCTGCCCGCGCAGTTCTTTCCATCGCCACAAGTCTACTTCGAGCCTCGAAAGACAGGGAGGTCGACTCCGCATTCAAAGCAAGGGCTATAGGTTTCCGTCTAGGCTGCGTAATCGGCCACATGTTCATGGCGTGTACAATTCTGGTTCTGAACGCTGGACTGGATCCTGCTCGAAGGACACAGTTAGCTGGAGAAGGACATGATTTAGCTCTCACGGCGACGTCAGAATCCCACACCGAAGTGGCACAGGCTTGCCGCGCGCTTGCTTCAGCAGGAGAGGAGTCAGTTGTGGCGAAGAAGCTCGTCAGAAATCTGATTGGGGTGTTGCGACGCTATCGCATTGGGGGAATGGATGATGTCGCCTCGCCAGAGTCGGAACACGCAACCAAATTGGGTGCAGAGTTCCCTGACAACGTGTTGGATGAAATCACGAATAGTAACAAGAAGACCAGTGGATCAAACGACGACCGCGACACTGGCTACTCCGTCACGCTGGGCGAGGATGAGCTTGGACTCCACGGTGTGTGGGATGACATGCTGGGTGATACATCTGCGTTTGGATGGGACCAGCTCTTCGCTGGACTTGACACGTACTGCGGTCCGACCTGATACCAACTTTGAAGACACGATATTGGCCGAGACACCAGCTCACATTACACGTAGACGTCGTGTGTTTTCCATCTAAACCTTCAGACTGCCCCGCACTTTTTATACTAATAACTAGCATAACGACCACCACATATTCTTTGGAAAGAGTAAACAGAGTCATCATAGAGCTTGTACGTATTCAGACGGTGGATTCAAAGACGTGAGCGGAGACTTGATATTCGTTTAACCTTAATATGAACCCCTTCCGCAAGGGTGATGCCAGAAGCCAATGTGTCAGCAAAGTCGAGAATAATAGGAGCCAACATAGAATCAAGATTGAGCTTGATACTATATTGCCAATTCCACGAAGTTTTCTGCAAAATCTTTGATACATATGGTTCACTTGGGAGAGTGATAAAGAAACAAGTCGTTTCACTTCTCATCGGGATTGTATTGATTTCACATAGCGAGACCAATGTGATACGGCTTGGCTCTCTTATATTGATGCGTGAGTATTATGTCATGTCTGGATTTAGGGAATTATATTGCCTCCTCATCATGCTATCACACTCAATCCCAGCGAGGAAACACGGCATAGAATACAAATATACTTACAATCCTGCTTTATTAATAAACATATACAAAGTTGGGATTCTCCTTGTCTGTCAAGTCGGTGAACGCAGTCGCGTTGAGCTCATTGGCCCCACGGTTCCCACTCGCGCGCATCTCCGCTCGCAGCCTTTCCTTCTTTTTGTTCTCCCAGATATAGGCATACCGAAAAACGAAAAAGAGGGCTAGTTCGATGCAGTTGGATACTAGGAGCGAGCCGATACCCAGGTGATAGGAAGGAGCTTGATCAGTCTTGTAAAAGAATGGGCTTGCAATGTTTCCGATACAAGCGCCGAACCAGATCATGCCGGACACAATCATCTTCTTGGACTGGCCGCCTGTGTTGGAGGTTATGAGAGATAAGGAGAGAACGAATGAGGCCTGATAAGAGCCGGTGAGGTAACTTAGATATTGTTGTTAGCTCAAGGGACCTTGGTCAAGTACCAAAGGGGAGGACATACAAGCATATCAACCGGCCGACGTATGCGTTATTGGGAGCAAGGAGGAAACCCAGAGCACCACCAATAGTTGGTAGCATGAATATAGCGCACACGAGCGTGCGACTGTTGGCAGGCAAGTGCCTGTTTGCCAAGGCACCAAGCCCGATCCAGATGACGACGAGGCAACCCTGTGGGATGCCAAGCAGGGCCGTCTCGAGGGTCCCGAAGCCAAGGCCCTTGATGACGAGGGTAGAGAAGTTGGAGATGCCGCCGTTGGGAACGTTGGACATGAAACCCAGCAGGGTGAAGAGCCAGGTCTTGTAGTCGGCGTAGGCCTCCCTGATCTGGCCCCAGTTGATGCGGCGCTGCTCGATACCTGTTTGGTTGCGCCGCATGCGGGCGATCATGATGAGTTTCTCGTCGCGGGTGAAGCCCCAGATCGTGCGCGGGGAGTTGGGCAGCAGGAGGACGAGGACGACGGCCCAGAAGGAGCAGAAGGCGCCGACGACGAGGAACTCGTAGCGCCACGATGAGAGCGCGCCTTTGACATGTCCGATTCCGTAGCCTGAAGCCGTGTTCGATCAGTGTTATGAACGGAGAAGAAACGGTGGAAGTGAGGATTACCGATGAGGCCGCCGCCAGCAACACCAAGTCCGTTCCAGGCATACCATGCAGCTATACGTAAGGGCTGCTCGGAACGGGTGTAGTACATGGAGGTGATCAACATAAAGGCGGGATCCGCAATGGCTTCAAATGCTCCGCTGAGAACCCGGAGAGCGAGGAGACCGCCAAAGCTGTGAGCCGCGGCCTGTGCCATGAGGAGAGCACCCCACATGAATATGTTGAACGAGAGATACCACGCGGGGGGACAGCGCTGCATGATCAAGTTGGAGGGGATGGCCCAGATGAGCCACCCGAAGTAGAAGGAGCTCGAAAGCCACGAGTATTCTTCGCCCTTGAGATGGATGCCTTCTTTCAGGCCAAAGATGGCTGCGTATGATCTGCGATGAGTGGTCAGCGAAACACGGCCGCGGTGCTTTGAAAGACGGGTAATATGCACAATGTAGTCTTGTCGACGTAGTAGAAGAAGTAACAGATTCCAAGCAGCGGCAGGATGCGCATATCAAGCTTGCGGAGGAGCCGCTTCTCCTCGGCCTGGTCTATCGACTCGTCGTCCGGATACCGGGCCAACGCCTCCAGGTATATCTCGGGGTCCTGCTGCTGCACATCCTCGGCTTCTACGTGCGGCTTGTGCAGGCCTTGTTCGACGTGTTCGGCGTCTCTGTCGCGGGATTTGGCACTATCCGCGGAGGGAAGAGATGTACCGGCCATTTGGCAGTAGGGGAGGGGACCGCAAGTAGGCTCCGAATCTAGGCCGGTGCTTCTCGTAGTAGCCTTGACGTTTTGGACTGTTGTATCCGCTGTGCAATGGCGATGGGATCTGCTAGAGTATCTCGAAGGTGCGATTTGTGTTTCTATAAATGCCCAGTATCCGAACTTTCGGAAAAGCGCTTATGGTACCCTACAGCGATCTGATACCGGCACTTTGACTTTAGAGACTTCCCGACAGAGGTCGTGGAGACACCCTCAGGGCAGCTTAGGCAAGCTTTAGCGCACTCCCGACCCTCAGAAGATCCAGTAAGGGACCTTTGCGAATCAGGTCTCGGCATCGCGGATAAGTAGTGCGGGGTATGAATGAAATCGGTAGGCCGAGTGGATGCGCGCTGACATTGGATGCTGTTGATGTAACATGACAGACGTCTGCATGGCCTTCTTCTAGAGCAGATACCGCGGCTGACGGGTCGAGACCCGTCTTTGTTAAGGAGCATCTGAGACCGTTTATAAGAACCATTTTGGGTTGGTTCTCTCTTACACGATCATGATACCAAACGAGCTGTTCTATTTTCCTGTAAACAATTCGTCGTCTGGGATTGACCGAAGCTTGACTGATTCCCACGGCGGTACCGCGGGGTTCTGACCGAGACTACCCTTCCCCGCTCCGGCTTGTTGCCAGCGGGGAATACGCGGGGTTTGGGATCCGGAGAAGTGGGCACGATCCACCGTTCACGGGCGTGGTTTCTTCCAAGGAAGCGATACCCAGTGCAAAGAGTTATTCAGTCACCTTTAAGTGGTGGAATTGATTTTCCCGTTTACGATTCCTTTCGCCTCTTGGTAGGGGCGGCAAATCATCCCGAGCCTGAATGTGTACGTTCTTCGTATTATAATACATCGTGCCAATGTGCCAGGGGCTCTGATCCCAAACAGGCATTTTCTCTACGACAAGTCTGGGATTACGCCGCCTATGCTTTCCAATTTCATTAAGAGAGTCGTTTCTGGGCTGCTCGTCAATTCATATAGACAGCATACTGTGATTAAACTACATGTATTATTACTCGAAGAGATAGACGCTGCCTCATTATCATACATTCAATCTTGTTCCAACCAAAGCTGCTTACTTAAAAATTACGCCCTGCCTCAGAATCAACGTTTGGCTTCTGTTTATCAGCAATTTTTGTAAAACCGTCGTCCCAGTTTGTAACTGAAAATAACCTGTCGCAGACATCACTACACGCACAAACCTATATCCTACCTTACACTCTACGGGCTACCAAGAACTATTTTCGAAGACCCTTGTCTCGGCCATACTGAGAGGTCATTTTGTCAAATTTTTGACGTACCATAGGGAAGGCGAGAGCGCCTACAAATGACATGAAACAGTCATACAATGGGCTGCTGCGCGGGCTTGGACCTCGCATATTGTTCAACGTCAAGTCGGTCGTCATATCCGTTGTGATAATGAAGTGTCCTTTCTTAATACCATCGAGGATCCCCGTGACTATTTCCTCGACACTCTGAATCTTGTTAAACAGTTCCTCCTTTGTCGCGTAGTCCGAAATCTCCATCTGTTTCAGGAGCTTAGGCTTCGCTGCCTGTTCCTGGAGGAATGCATCTGTCGTGAAGGCCGCCGGGAAAGCTATGTGAACGCGGTACATGTTTTCGTCGCCGTACAGAAGCAGCTCTTGGCGAAGCGTGTCTGCCAATGCTCGGACAGCAGTCTTGGGCGGAGTATAAACGATATAACCTGGGAGAGCGACAAAGGCGGCGGAAGAAGCGATATATACAAGACGCCTGGTACGCTTCGAGTCCGGAAATTTAATCCAACGCTGTACACACCACTGGGTGATGCAGAGTGCAGCGTTATAATTGGATTCAAAGCAGGACACGAGCCCTTCTGGCGTCAGGTCCGCAAGGAAACCGATCTGGGCCGGAGTAGTTCCGCCGACGCTGCAGATCAGCACGTCTGGTGTCGCATCGTGTTCCGACATGGCATTTCTCAGCTACATGGTAAGTCAATGCAAACCTAAGATCTTCAATGGAACTTCCGTTTCTTAATTACAGCAATGTAGTCACTAAGATCGACTGCGATGGCGTGAACGGCCTGTTCTTCCGACTGACGAGCGGCCATGATTTCTGCTTTAGCTGTTCCCAGGGTTTTCGGGTTCCTGGCACGAATGATAATAACACTGGCCCCTAGAGGCAATGCAATTAGACAAAGCCATATGCAACTTGGTGTGCGCCATACGGGAGATTTTTACCTTGTTTCGCAAATTCTACTGCCATTAGCAGACCCAAACCCCCGAGAACCGCCCACGACACACACCGTCTATTTCGGGGTCAGTTGGGTCATGTCTCAAAGTTCAAAAACGGTACTTCCCTGTCCAGCATATTGATTTTGGGCTTTTATCTTGCAAGTTCCTCTTAACTTTGTCTGATAATGAACGTTCTTAGCGCGTGCCGAAGCGAACAGTAGACGGGGAAGTGAATGTCGACTTGTCGGAACAGCAGCTGGAATTATACAACAGCTCGGCGTCCCGCGGATCAGCGAACGGCAAGTCCCCCGGCTGTCGCGCGCGCGTAATAACACAAACGGGCGCCGTCGGGCCCCGATCCTCTTAAACCACGGTTCTTTCCAACGAATGGCCGAGAAAGCGGCTTGTGGATGACAGGTCTACTTACTATGAGCCAGGCGCGGCAGGACGCCGGTTTGATTATGCTGAGATGATAGTGCAACGAGTACATTTGTCCAAACTGCCGACGCCATTACGCCCATCTAACGATAATAAGGTAGGAGAAGCTATGATATAATTGCGTATCATAAGTTTCGGTACGCTTTACAGTGCACCACGTTAAACACGCTATAGACGTTAAAGTTGAACCCCCCGAACCAGATTATGAATAAGACTTTGTCTATGTGTATTTCCAATTGCTGTCAGCTCTCGATAAAGTCTTGGAAAAAGACAGGGCTTTCTCAGAATAATGTAGCTCAAATGCCATGCGGAGCATGGACGAAATCGCAATACCACCCCTCCTTTTCGGCCCGGTCCGAGATGGGCCTTTTACTACCGGTAGGTAGATCGGATGTCACTCCCTGACTGCACGCCAACGGTGCTAGTGACACAAGATCGCTAGGGCTATTCGGATCCTGAACCCTTAACCAACCTCATTGCACACTCGTGTCTCATCTCACATGCGCTGCTACCATTGAATCCTCGAGGAGTGCATCTCACAATGATGGGTGAATGATGTCACGTAGCACACTTTGTCATGATGTCACTCAACAAACATGAGCCACATTCAACCAGTGACTCGCCCAACGGAAGAGAATGGTTAAATACCATGGCTTGTCTTGATCGACCCCCCGCACTTCGCCTCAACTAACAAAAGGTTTCTGAAGGTTGATCAGATCTCAATGGCCCGTATCGAACAGTCAGACTATAAGATGGACCAGCTCTCAAATGGACATGCTCCTGAGTTTAAACCCGCCAAAAAGGCGCCGCGAACCGACCGCAAAGTGAAGTCGGTATCAAATGACGACGGGCCAGGCTTTACGACGGCGGTACCTATGTGCCCGATTACCTATCATCGCCCGCCTGCCGTCAATGCTGGCAAGGCCATCGACTCCCCTGGAGTTGCTCACGCCAATCGCGCACCATCTGTGGATAAGCCGCACGGCAGTGTGGAATACTCAGAGAAATACAATAACTACGTGAGGCCCATGGTAGTCACGTAAAGAGGTTGGATCGAGGCTAATATTAAGGACAGACGGTGCTGCAACAGCACGTGATGTTCTGGGATCGCAACAACGACGGCGTCATCACTCCGATTGACGTTTGGGTCGGCTTCCGAGACTTGGGTTTCAATCTTGCCACTTGCCTGTTAGCTGCGACGGTGATTCCTTTCGCGTTTTCATACGGCACTGTCATGCAGTATTCCTACATTCCGGACCCCTTTTTCCGACTCTATGTCGGCGGCATGCACAAGGCAAAGGTATCAGCTTTGGTTCAATGTAATATCAACATAAATCCTGCGCTAACGTGATACAGCACGGATCCGACTCTGGGATCTACGATAGCGAGGGTCGATTCGTTCCACAGCGATTCGAAGACGTCTTTGCAAATTGCAGTGCCCGACAAGATGATACCCTAACACTGGGTGAAGTGTTTGGCTTGATGAGCAAAAACCGATGTGCCGTTGATCCATTTGGCGTGAGTAGCTTGTGATTATGAATGCAGCATCAGTAGTTCACAGGGCCTATACTGACCAATTTACTTTCTAGTGGTCGGCATCATTTTTTGAGTGGGTTACCACCTGGATGCTGCTAGCAAAAGACGGCAAAATCCACAAAGAGGACCTCAGACGAGTTTATGATGTAAGTGACTCTGACGACCGAGTCTACCATTAAGTTTCATGCTGATTGGCGAAGGGCTCTCTCTTCTGGGAGATCCGGGACAAGAGACATTCTGGAAAAGGCTGGCATCAAGGCTGGGGAATTGGGGGCGATTGGTTTCTAGGCGATCGACCTAGGTTGAACCCTTATAATAAGCTCCCGAACTAGTGTTGAATCTTAGGTATCAAAAATGGCATTCGGGGTTATAGAAACTTTGTAATGTTCAACATATGATCCTCGAGCACATGACCAATCATCTCTCTAAGTTCAGCATCCATTCAAGTGCAAATTCTCTAGCCTTTGATACACTTGCGTTCGTAGCTCAACAGGGTAAAACAGACGATCTTATTCCTCGAGGATTACGTGTAGCAGTCGGACTCCTTCACCCAGTACCCATCACCGTTCGATTTAGTGAAAGAACATTCAAGCGACACTACGCCCTGTCGCTGCCTTCAATCTAGTTTCTCTCTTGTGCAGAAACCTGATGATAAATGCAATAGCGATAAGACCAACAGCGAGCGCAACCATACTCGGGTACCCCTTGGGGTATGCCGGGGCTTCAACCTGTTGCCAGATCACGAGAGGTAACCAGGCCTGGAAGACATACGCCATCTGGTTCATGGCACCCGTGACCAGTGCTCTTTCCTCATTATCGTCGCTGCAGATCTCGTGGGCCCAGGCAAAGGTGAGACCGCTGATGCCGCCGCCGAAACCACAAAGAATGAAGCACGCCCACTTGAGGCTGTTCGGGATGTCCCAAACCGTCAGGGGGACGTAAGCGATGATCTTCACGAGCCCAGAGAAAACTATGGCCGGCCATCGTGCGCCTTTGAAGAGACTATCGGACGTCCATGCGTAGATGAGAGTCGTGATGATACTGACCACCTCGGTAATGGTTGGATAGATGTTGACCTGACGCACACTGTAGCCCTCAGACTTGAGCCAAAGAGGGAAGGCGGGCTGCGAATTCCCGCCGTTTCCGTTGTTGAATACGATGTAGAGTATGACCAATGTCCAAATATGCCAGCTGGAAGATTTTAACAAACTTGGATTTGGTGTAAGGTGCGCGTTTCGCGCGACCTTCCAACTCCATACGCTTTTTTGCCAGGGCGATTTCCTCGGGCGTGAAATACCAGGCCTTCGTGATCTCAGGTAAATCCGGCAAAAAGAAAAACCCAGAGATGGCGATCGGCAGTGACACGACAGTGTTGACTAAGGACTGTAAGCAAAACACCAACATTTCATGGAGAAATATTGATCGTCCTTACCGATGAACAGCCATTGCCATCCATGATAGCCGTGTATGCCGTCCAGGCTGTGCGTGCCTGCCATCATGTAGCCAGACACCATGGAGCCAACGTTTCCCATAGCATGGAAGAGACAAGAACGTTTCGCGAGCTCGTCCTTGCGGTACCATGATCCAATGATGTACTGCATGCCAGGATAGAAAGTACTTTCCGCCAGCCCGATGAAGAATCGCAAAACATAGATTTGGGTGGCCGTGGAACACTTGGCGAGAAGGATAGTGAGGACGGACCATGTCACCTAACAAGCTTAGTGAAACTACTACGCAATAATGCTACGTGTGAACTATTTAGACCTACTTCACAGACGGGAATCCAAATCCCGGGGCGGATGCGCGTCAGGAGCAGGTTGCTAATAATCGTGTCAGCAAAAAGCGATGATGGAACAACTGGCATGATACGTGTGGTTGGCCGTACCTGGGAATTTCACCAACAACATAGCCAACTGTCCAGCAAACCTGCATGTAGTTAAGTTCGTTGCCGTATAGTCTCAGGTCTTCTTTCATGCCCGAAACGAATGCGTTGTTGATGTTGACCTGAAATTTGTTAGTCCCAGGTATATGATATTTTTATAACGCTGTGCCGTACCTGGTCAAGATACTTGATGAAGTATCCAAGGGAGGCCAGCGTCATCAGCACGGCATCGAGCTTAAAGAGAAACCGACGCTCTTCTGGAGACTTATCGAAGGTATCCCAGATGTATGATCTCCATGTGCTTTTCGGCATTTCTTGAAGGACCTCGGTGACTGATGGGCCTGTACTTTCTTTGCTCTCGTCCAGCACCGACACTGACTTCTCATCGGTGCCCTGCGGCCGGATCTCTGCAATGGACCGCGGCATTCTGGCAAGTCTACCCCCGCGGCGAATGTTGAACAGAGACAGTCTGCGAAAAAGTAGTCTCGACTCTTGGGAGATGTTGAGTGAAGAGATCGAGGCTCGCTACCGGATCAGGAAGGTCAAGGTACGGACTTCCTCGTGGCCATAGCTCGGCTTCCACGACGTTATATCTCTGCTTGTTTATTTTCCAAGGCATTACCACCCACGTGGGTGGGCAAAACTCTTCCTAAGAGATTCTGTCGCCATCGAGGGGAATTAAGTCGTCAAACAGGCTTTACCCAGCTCGACGTTTTGCTCTTGGCACTTGCTGTGGCCGCGGTTGGTCAAAACTGGGCCGACTGCAATAGGACAGCGGTTTTGGGGTTCGATCCAGGAGATCAACAACCGATAAGAGATGAAGATGTGACCCTGGACCATTGAAATGCGACATAGTTACCCGGAAGCGGCTACATGACCTTGTCGATTTCGGAGGCAAAGGGTTGGAAAGCACTGAAATCGGACGAACGGGTACGCGAACCTGGTCATCGCAAGTAGACCTCACCCTTCGTGGGCGAAAGTGTGGCTGGCATTCGCTCGTTACGCCGGGGCTAACATGATAGCGCAACGGTTCTGAGCTTCTTCCTGCGGGAATGATCTTATGCCTACTCACAGTGGCTTCCAATCCAGACGTGACTTGCATGAGATAGGGTACTGTGATCGGGCGAGTATACACAATAGGCCGTGGTGTCAGTAGTGCGTATCGTCACGCCATTGGAATCAGCCAGTAAGAGAGGAAGCTCCCTCTCCTCCTGAAAACACGCAGGTCTTGGCAAAACAATTGTATCCTGGAAGCCTTCGATAATCTTTCAAGTCTACGTGAAGCAAGAGATCTTCCGACTGGGCGTCGGTGCTGCTGGAGTCTCGCTTAATGTCTTGGCAATATTGCATCAACCTTCATCGTACTGACGCCATTAGATATTGCAGCTTGGAATAATTGGTCACGAAAGGACTACACATTGACCGGGTAGGAAATCAAGCGCTTTGAAAATATTGATATGCGGCTCTTCTCTTGATTAAGCATATTTCTTGGAGCATGAGATTTTACCAATTCTGGCGTTGAAGCTGGGGATGGGATTTCGAGGGGCAAATGTCACCGTCACCAGGGTCTCTCGCGTCATCGCGGGGTCGGATGCAGAACGCGGCTCGAACATCCAGCAAAGCATTTCCCCATATCTTCTCTAGCATGTGACCAATACCTAGGCGTCCCCCTTACCCCTGCCTTTGCTTCGCCTTCCGGGTAACCTGGAGAAATTTCCTTCACAATCGAATTACACCCCTCATTTTACTGTGGATGTTACTAGTAACGTCCAATTCCTTATAAGTGTCGGGATGCCAGTCATCCACCGGAGACATGGGCCGGCCCGAAGGTCACTACGTGGCCTTCCTCGGGCCGTATACCCATTTACCAACGGCGCTGGCAATGGCGATAACTGCTCCATTCTTTCCATCATCATCACTATCATACTTCACCTACGAAGATACGGTTATTGATCGCCCATCCGGAAAGATATCCACCTGTGATACCAGCAATAAGCCCTTCGTGAAGGTCTTGCTTCCGGGCATTAAACTTAAACTTGTCATCCAAAATTCCACAACCAACCACCAACAACCAACGGTGAGGATGGATCGAAGAACAGACCCGTGTACTACTTCATGAATATGGATTATGGCTCCAAAGACCTGAATCTAAAAATGTTACGAAGGAAGCGCTAAACTTGCCAAACACTGTTGCGTTGTTTTATATTTCGTAGCTTTGAGGGCCCACCTCTTGTGCACCTGGTCAGTGATATTGTCACCCACTCGACGTATTTCGTCACGACCAAGATCGCCCGCTGCATCCCCATGAACTATCATCATTAATGATTGGCACCGTTGTTCTCGTTACCACAACAACATACTCTTACAGTCGCCCAACATTAGCGGCATCCAGTACAGCGAGTCTAAGTGGGGTATTTGGCTAATGTGATCACTGCTTGAAGGAAGCCTCATTCAACAAGGCGAGACGATCACGTATACCCTCTGATACTGGTGAGCCTCCTGAACAAAAGTCATACGTACTTTTACCAACCAGACTTGTGAGAAATATGTTACTTTACGATTTGGGAGGCTCCCTTTGGTAATCTCGATTAATGATCGATTCAGGATCCACCGCAATGGCTACCAAATGGAGGATTGATTAAATGGCACTTGGTAGTAACGAAATTGGCCTTTGTATCGTTCTAGTGTTCTTTTCATTTGCGACATGGGTTGTCGTCAGTATCTCTGACCAAACTCCTCGCCAGCTTGCCCGTTGTTAGCATACTATCGACAGTAATCCTTGCACGCAATAGATTGCTTGTATACTTATTACGAAGAGAATAAATCGGAGTGTCAATTCGGGGCTTCAATATTACCTTTTTCATTGATGATCGAATTTGATTCTTACAAATCAAGAGGTCATCCTATCCTGGATAGTTCATAGCAAACTTCGGGCCAAGAGGCAGAAGAATAAAAGACCTCATGTCCGAGGTCGAATTTGCTGACAAGACAGCTTCATTCGGTATAAAGTCTTATGAAAAGCTCATGTCGGACTCTCTTACTGTAAAAATTGTTTGGATCGTGGATCGTTTGATGACATAGGGCATTCCAAGCCCTTCTCTCTATTATTAAAATATTAGACCCGTAGATCAAGGTTCTTTAACCCTAACCTTGACCATGAATATATGAATACAGTATGTAATGATGAAGTATGTGCAGAACAGTAAAATATGTGCAAGAGAATGAGACTCAAACATAAAGGTGCCGAGCAAAAGAGACATGGGGTATCCTTTAAACAATGCATCTCCAAGTAATCACAAACGGTGCCATCCACAAATCTAACTGTTGTAGACAGCAACATATTCAGCCTGGAATGTACCACCGGAGACGGTGCTCGCGAGGGGAGTATTGCCGCCATAGACGGCGTTGGGAAAACTGCCACCGATGGCAAGATTGAGCAGAACGAAGTGAGGCGAGCGAACGGCCTGAGCCCAGACGTCGGCGGGGAGGTCGGTCTCGACGATTTGCCAGTAAATGATGCCATCGACGAACCACCGCACAGCCTCGAGCGCCTGAGTACGGTCGACCTCGAGGGTGTAGGTGTGGAAGTTCCCCTGGCAAGGGCTGTTGGGGCAATCGCGGTGGTCAGAAAGGCCGTCCGTCTCCCTGCAGGGCCCGTTGGGAGTGACGCCGCAGTGCATAGTACCCCAGACACGGTTTATCCCATTGACGTTTTCCATGATGTCCCACTCGCCGATACCGGGCCAATTCCTGAAGGAAAAAAATCAGCACAAGCACTTGACAAATGGTTTCCAATAAACTCACCAGTAGTTGCCTCTGTAGGCAGTGCCGAGGGACCAGAAGGCAGGCCAATAGCCGATGCCGTTTTGGCCAACATTGGGCAGGTTGAGACTGGCCTGGATACGCATCTTGCCGCCGGCCTGAGCCATGAAGTCACCGCGCTGGGTTTCGATGCGGGCGGACGTCCATGCCCCGGATCCATCCTTGATGGCTGTGATCTGCAGATTGCCGTTGCCGTCCAGACGGATGTTGTTGGTACTGCTCGTGTAGGCTTGAATTTCTCCGGTGCCCCAGTTGGCGGTGCCCCCGGGATAGGAGGTGCCGGCATCGAAGATCCAGTTGGCAGTGTTGGGTAGACTGTTGGGGGAGCCAACGAAGTCATCGCTCCAGGTTAAAGTGAAGCCGGGAATCGATGGAACTACAGCTTGTACAGCAGGCAGGCCGAATGCCAGAGCCGAGACGACTTTGTTGAACGCCATTTTGTTTGAGTTGAGATATGTGCGTTGAGAAAAACGACAAAGTAACTAATACTTGATATATTGGCAGGTATCAGGAAAAGAACCAGGCCTTTGGTTGAAGGTGATTCGAAAACAAAAGACTGAACACTGAACTGGCTCTTCTGTTCTTTTTATCTTCTATGCATCTTTGGAGACGCATCTTCGCCAAGTGCTGAAAAGCGAATATTACCATTGAATGTCTGAATCTGGCTCGCCTAAGGACATGGCATTGGTCTAGACCCCATGACATCAAATGAGGCCCTGATTCGGCTGTTCACACGATACCCCTGACCGGCACACGTTGCCGCACGCTTGTAGATACATGATATTAGATGCTCCGGCCACGATCTCGCGTGCGTGCGCCATTGAGGAACCACTGACAAGCCTTGCGCATGCATGTAATGCGGATTGTGTGGCTACCCTTCTTGCCCCACACTCACAAGCTGGCCTAGGATATTGGTGGAATAGATGCGCCAGGGTATGACCCTTTTGAATGAATGCTTCCTTCCTACGACGCTCCAATCAGTGCCTGAAGCGCAAGCAGCCTACTACGTTACTCCCTGAGAGCCTATCATCACCACCGTTGGCTTCACGGATAGGTATGCATGGATCGGAGTCTCTGGGTCGTTTGGCAGCCCAGCCCATGGGTCGAAAACCGGAGCGACCGAAAGCAATAAAGCTCTTGTATGTGACTCGCGTACTGTCCGACCACTTGCTGTGCCTCGTTCGCCGTCAAGTAGATTCTTTCTGGCGACAACCGAAGTGAGGTCTTATTGACTTAATAGATCCAGCAGCTTAGCATCCATGGCGGTGCAGCATGCGCCCACGTCTACATAGTATGATCAAGCTGTCTCCGGGATGGATGTACCGAATCGGGTGACCAGCATCTGCTGGTCATGCAACCTATCAATCGTGGTAATATTCCTTCTATTATCGATCGGACAAAATCAGGAGACTTGTGTTACATACATATATTGAGAAGCACTTGCAAATACTAACCCAGCATATTATGTACTGCAGTTGTCGCCAAAACATCAGGCAGTCGGTTCACAGTGTGCCCCGTGCCTACGAACAACTCTTTAAGCTTGTTTTTATGCACGTGTCAATTACGCTATCGTCGGCTTTTTCTCTTTCTCCTTTATAGAACTTGGTAGCCACTACTAAGATAGCTAATTATCATCAATCCCAAAATTCTTATGGCCGATTCCGGTGGTTTACCTGTCCGGCTTCTGCTGGATTCCTCTACCCATTGAATATCTTCCTCGTAGACGGCCTGCTACCCATGTCAGCCAGCTCGTGAGTTCATCCGTTCTTATTTAGGCTCAAAAGGAAAATTAAGCAGGGGCTATCCCAGTGCAAATGACGGGGCATATGTCCAGATTAGGATTGCTCGAGTGAGCGCAATCTGACTACGGGTATTTGACCGTAGGCGACTTGGTATTTGGTCGTATCTAACCACTTTCGTCAGCACCATAGCCCTTTTCGCTAGGTAAACCGGCATCACAGCAGAAGCTATAGTAGGTGTGTTAATCACAGCGATAATCTTAAAGAATTGCATGCTGCCTTGTATCAAATTACATCCCCGAAAATGCCACTTTACTCTGCAAACGTGCATTTTTGTATAAATCTTGGACAGCAAGCGATCTTTCTTAAACTAATCACCTGCCTTGTACCGCGCAATCGAGGTATTATGACTTTTGGAGGCAGGCCTAGGTAGTATTATGTGTAGCTGTAGCGGTAGATTTACTTGCTTAAAGTGGTCGGATACTGCCAGGTACCCACTCAGGTAACCTTGCTCGCTAATCTCCAAGGGTTCCATGACGGCCCGAAATCTTACTGATGAGGCAGCCAGGCTTCCAAGGCTGTAGCTCTAAATCTAGACTTTTCGTTCTCATTCACCTGTAAGACAAGTGGAAGTCCGGATAACATTCTTCATTTCATGCTCTTCAGTAGTCTATGCATTATGGTTATATCAGTATTCGGCGCGACCATGCTGAAGCGATGGGAGCACAATGTAACTTCTCTAGATTCTTGCGAACAATGAATGTTACACAGTAAGACAAAGATAAGATGTGATTATGGTTATTAAGAAGATGATGCGTAGGTTAGTAAAGGTGCCGCCTGGCTCCCTTAACTGTGGAAAACCTATTGAATGCTTAGATGCCTCGATAGTAAGGCTTAATTTCAACGTCCGAATTTGATCATTATCAGGATTTCATTTTCAACAACTCGTTTGAGATGCAGCTTCACGCTGCTGATTGGATTTCGCGGTCATATTGCGCAGCACATCCATCAGAGACATACATACGGACGCTTTCGACATTTTGGTCGGATCGAGTATTTACAGCCGCGTACGATGCACCATGAAAAATGAGAATTGCTTGGTAATCGTCACAGCCGTCGAGCTTCCGGGATGCCAAGTGTCCGAGACGCGGCCGAGACCGTGTGGTACGTTCCCGACCTAGCGCGGAGGCAATCTCCAACTGAGACAAAGCCGAGGTGATTTTGCCAGCCGAGCCCCGAAGTCCAATCGACGGTCAAAGTTCGCCCCTAGTGGAGTTCACTTGTCATACCTTTCGTACTCCCCGAAAGTACAACTCGGCTGGAATGTTCCTCCGGCCGACTAAGGACGTGGGAGGATTCATGATTCATATGCCTGTGCCTCGGCATAAAATTTTCAAGTGCTCGGTCACGGCTTGATTTGAGCCCGACGGATGCCTCCGGTTTTGGGGGCCAATCTTTCGTCTTTGTCACCAGCCAATTATTCCGAGGAATCGCACTCAACCAGAATGTTCCTCTCCTATTGTGGATCTGTGGCTGTGACCATGTTTGGTCCCGCGCTACAACGTAGTTGGCATATTTCGTTGATAAATGCCAACTACTTACTGTGTTTTCAAAAAGCTGAAAAGGCGCATCGATTCTGCTCCACTTCAGTCAAGTTGCACATGCTTAATCGACAGCTTTCCAATCAAAATTCACTCTGACTTGGATGACCTCTGTTGATAGGTGCAACTTATAATCTACCAGTTCCATCACAATGTCGAACTCTATGATTGCGAAGCCCTTGACGCTGAAATGCGGTCTCACTCTACCGAATCGCTTGACAAAAGCCGCCATGGCTGAAAACTGGGCCGACAGCGACGGCTTGCCCACCGATGCATTACATGCATCTTATGGCGAATGGGCAGACGGCGGCTGGGGACTTATCATGACCGGTAAGGAGTCAACGCCAGCGTGACTGAGGCTCTAGCTGATTTGAATTTCAAGGCAACGTGCAAGTTGATATCAAGCACCTGGGCCAGGCAAAGGACATCGCGTACAACGACACAATTCCCTATGCGCGCATGCTTGAAGCCTGGAAGGCCTGGGCCGATGCTTGCAACCGCAACGGCACGCCGACCATCGTGCAGATCAACCACCCCGGTCGCCAGTCGCCTCTGGGCGCGGGCAAGCGCGGGTTTATGGAGAAGACCATGGCCCCCAGCCCGGTACCGCTGGATCTCGGCTCCGGTCTCGTTGCTCGCCTCATCAACGGGCTGGTCTTTGGCACACCGCGCGAGATGACCGTCGCCGAGATCCAGGACGTCGTCCGCCGCTTTGCGCAGACGGCCAAGTTGGCGTCCGATGCTGGCTTCGCCGGTATCGAGATCCACGGCGCCCACGGCTACCTGCTCGCCCAGTTCATGTCCGATAGAATCAACAAGCGCACCGACGCCTACGGCGGCTCTCCTGCCGCCCGCGTCAAGATCGTCGTCGAGATCATCCGCGCCATCCGCGAGGTCGTCCCCAAGACTTTCTGCGTAGGCATCAAGTTCAACTCTGTCGACCATCAGTCGCAAGCGGAGCTCGACGCGTGTATCGAGCAGCTGAAACTGATCACCGAAGCCGGCGTTGACTTCTTGGAAGTCAGCGGTGGTTCGTACGAAAACCCTGTGGTAAGTAACCAGGCATGAAACAGGTCTTTGCTTGAATTTGGGACGTTACTGATGAAATGCACAATTAGATGTTTAGCAATAACGACAACGAGAAGAAGTCAGACCGTACCAAGGCTCGCGAGGCCTTTTTCCTGGAGTTCGCCCGGGTCATCCGCCGCGACTTTCCCGATGTTCCCTTGATGGTGACTGGTGGTTTCCGCTCACGCCAGGGCATGGAGGATGCACTCGCTAACAACGGCTGCGATCTCATCGGGCTGGCACGGCCTGCCGTCCTGAACCCGGCTCTGCCGAAGAACACCATTCTTGCCGACACCGTCAAGGATGAGGATGCCAAGCTATATGCTAGGAAGATTGAGGCCCCTTGGATATCCCAAAGGGTGGGTATGAAGTTCATCGGTGCTGGTGCCGAGTCGGTATGTCATAAATTCCTCCGATTACATTTGCTCCGGTTCTCTGTTAACAACTCCCTCAGTCTTGGTACTCGGGCCAGATTCGCAAGCTGAGCCACCAAAAAGCTTGAAGACCAAGACTATACTCATGTTTGTTGGAAAGTGACAGGGATAAGAGGTGTATACCATCATGATACCATAGAAGCCATTTGAACTTGCGATGGAGTTTGACTCATTGCTACAAGCCTATCTTTTTTTGACATGATAATTTAGTTATGACGCATTATGTTGTTAATAGTATATGAGAATACCAATCGCTGTGCTATTGCCGACCCGTAGACTAGAAATTCCGTTCCCAGAATCATTGAACTTTCGACTTTGATGTAAGGAGAATTGACTTATAAGGAGTTGTTTGTTTGAGAATGCTTGTTAGTTCTGAACACGGAACAATTCCCTTGCATTGAGGTCACAGCCATCGTACACCGTAATGTTCGCCAGTCGTGAAGCTGCCCATGCCTATCTGTTTCGAACGCCTAGACTCTATAACTCTTATCGAAGCGCGTCAGAATTCTGTCCCTCGTCTTTCGAAATGATTCTTAGCACCGAAGTCCTCTACTGTCTCCTTCCAATCTGAATAGGGGTTTCTCATTCTCAGCTTCCGGGCTTGTTCAACATCACAACTTTCCCCAATGAACAAAAGGACAACGTCACGAAGTGGCTAGCCGAGGCTCGCACGACTGCCGGTGTCGACCTTTATGCGCACTTCGCACACCGCTGCATACTTAGCCAAGTCTACCCAGAACTATCGAGTGCAGCGCAAACCCCCGGCTTCGTCACTCCCCGCGAGGTCTTTAGTCGTTGTTATTTCATTGGCCAGAGCGCTGTCTCGGCATGGGCTTATGACACAGGGGACGGGCTCGTTATCTTCGACAGCCTCAACAACGCCGAGGAAGCCGAACAGATTCTCATTCCCAACCTCGAGGCTCTCGGGTTCGTCGGGACCGACATTAAACACATTGTCATCACCCATGAGCACTTTGGTCATTACGGCGGTGCTCGCTGGATACAAGACAACTTTCACCCCGCCACATATGTGTCTGCAGCGGCCTGGGAGAGTCTCGTCAAAGTAGAGAACGGACCGCTCAAGGATAAGACCGTTGCGGAGGGAAACGTGCTCACGCTTGGCAATGCCACGTTCAAGTTCTACGAAACGCCAGGGCATACGCCAGGCACAATTTCTACCATTTTCTCCGTCTATGACAATGGGATCGAGCACAAGGCCGGATTTTTCGGCGGCCTTGGTGTTCCAAGCGAAGCTGCAGCCAAGATGCAGCAGATCGCTTCGTTAACCAGGTTCGCCGACTTGGGCTTGAAGGCAGGCGTGGACACCCTCATCGCCCATCACCAAACTATGGATCGATCACTCATCCATTTTGATCTGCGGGAGCACCGGCCCAGTGGTTCAGAAGATCCCTTCCTCCTTGGTGCAGATGCGGTCGATAGATATTTCAGGTCTATTGCGCATTGCGTGAAAGTAAAAGCCGCCAGAGACGGTCAGGATCTGCAGGCTTAGAGAAGATTGAGAAACTATGCAAACGGTCAAAAACCTTCCAAGCTCAAACACAAGCAGAAACATAGGAGACGAACGGATAATGTAACTACAGCTCCCTCATGCAGGCAGCTTCCCATTAACAGACCAGTACACATTATAGTTGAAACCTTGCGCGTCATAAAACGGTCCAAGGTTTACCGTCTTGCCTCCCGCCGTCGCCGTGAAAGCCAGCCCGGTGGCTCCGCTCCTCTTCACAGTAGCCAAGTCCAACGCGGGCGTGGCCGAAAGGGTCTCGCTGCCGTAGTTGCCGCTGAGGATGACAGGGCCAAACGCCAACGCTGCGACGCTGGGGTTATCGTTGGCCGGAATGACCTGCAGTCTCATCGGCAACTTCACGACCACGGTGTCGCCCGAGACCCAGGTACGGTCGATTGCAGCATAGGATCCAGCTGATGCCTGCACGGCTTGTCCGTTGACGGTCACTTGAGCCCCGGAAGCCCATGCGGGAATACGGATACGCATGATCCACTTCCCAGCGCCAGTGATTTTCAATGTTGAAGTGTCGTCCTGTGGGAAATTGGTGGTTTGGGTGACAGTGACGCCACGTTGAGTCCACCTGAGCACAGAAGGGATGAAGAGGTTGACGTAAAGAGCACTGTTGTCGTAGAAGTAAATCGAGTCCATCAGTTTGGTGTTAGTCTCCAAGCCGGTACCTTGGCAACACCAGAATGAGTTGTAGTCAGTGCTCCAGGTACCGCCGCCCCAAGCAGGTCCTACTCCTCGACGACCACCGGGGTTGAGGGGGGTAAAGTAGGTGACGTGTCCATGACTATTGGAGGGGTCCTGCTGGCCGAGGAGGTGGTTGAGCAGCGCCCGTTCGTAAAAGTCGAAGTATGTCGTCGTAGCCGGGTTGGTCAACCACAGCTCCCTCGTGAGCTTGAGCATGTTGTATGTGTTGCACGCCTCGCATGTATCGCTGGTCAAGAAACCGGCAATGGCATTGGGTAGCCTGAAGTGCTCGGCCTGGCTGTTTCCGCCGATGGCGTACGAGTGTGCGCTGACGGTGATGTTCCACGCATTTCGCGCAATGTCCTGGTATCGACTGGTTCCAGTCGCCTTGTACTCCCGCGAAGCACCGATCCACTTGGGGACCTGGGTGTTCGCATGCAAGCCGTTGAGACTGTCCTGGTTCGATGCGAGAGGGTTAAAGATGGCAGCGTGGTCGAAGCGTTGGGCGACCGTAACCCAGCGCTTATCGCCTGTTTGGTGGTAGAGATCGGCCAACACTTCGTTCATCCCGCCGAATTCGGTGCCCATCATATCCTGCATCTGCTGGTACGTGAGCTTACCAGTGCGGAGGTCGACCCACGCCGCCATGGCAAGAAGCACATCGCGAGCGTTTGTGTCGCCGATGAGGCGCCAGACATCGAGCAGACCGGCCATGGTCTTGTGGATGGCGTAGTACGGAACATTTCCGCTGGTGAGAGTCCGTTTCTCCAGAGCATCAAAATCGGCCTCGGGAAAGCCAGAGAGATATCCTTCGTTGAAGCCAACTTTGCTGTTGTTGTCCTGGCATTTCTTTAGTTCGGCGGCAAAGTATGCGGCCCTCCGTTTGCACTCAGCGTCCTGGAGCTGGGCGTAGCAGAAAGCCCAGGCATTCAGGAAGTGGCCCTGAACGTGACTCCGGAACGGAAAGTCTGGAGCATCCCAGCCGGAATTTGGCTGAGCATTGTTCGTAGATAAGCCGTGATTCTTGCGGAAGACGTACAGGAGCCTGTCGACGTCTACCCATTTGAGATAGACCAGAGTACGAGCTTGGTTATCGAAAAACCGGCCGGTGCTCAGGGTGACCTGGCTCATATCGAAACCCCAAGCAGAAACCCCCTGTTCCTGGCCGACAGGCGGAACAGCTTGTGCATTGCCTGTAGAGGACAGGCCAACAGTGAGGGCAAGAGCTGCCAGCCCAGGGAGTATTCCCGTTTTGAACCACATGATGGTTCTGGTGGGAGGCGTAGGTTGAATATGATCAGGCTGGTTTGAGCAAGAAGTTGAGTGACCTCTTCGGGCCTGAAGATGAATGCTTAATACTTAGTTTGGTCTGGGTGGGTTAGCATCAACTTTATAGTCTCTGGCAAGAGATCCAACGGTGGCCCAAGCCGCCTTTCCGGATGATCAACAGGGTCCAGCTGCAATACCGTACGCACTGGTAAAATCCGGACAAAGCTAGGAAGCCCGCTAGCCAGAAAAGGCTAGCAGATAGTCCATAGCAGCTAGTAGATGTCCGTTACGCTAGTCCCAATATAGAAAGCGGTCAACCCATTAACATACCCATCCACCGATCTACCCACTTGCCCTTTACTTACTGTTCTTACGCCTTAACTTGCTGCTGACGTAAATGACTAACCCCTGCTTTTGCCTTTCTAGATCCCTGTTTCTGCCAGCACGCTAGCCCCTATTTGGTGGCCGCGATACTCCTGGCCGTTAGCGGGCTTCCTAGCTTTGTCCGGATTTTACCAGTGCGTACGGTATGTATACTCTTCGCAAGCTTACCTCTCTCCATTGACATCCAATACAGTGACTGGCGCGCATGCATACACGGCAATGACGGTGGTGAGGTTACATTCATCAATGGAACGCCTGACTTTCACGACTCCGAGCAAGCTAACCCACCCCCTCCATGAATATCCCCCGCATCTTAGAACCTCAGGGCCATATCCCGATTGGCGCGGCACATGTGGGCTTCCTAATCTACCAATCTTGGCTTTCCTTATGTAGTAGTCTCATTTCACTACTCAAAACTGGCATTGAACTTCCGCCAACCATGGAGAGTGGACTACACAAGGCTCCCCTCCCTCATCATTGTCGCCACTCTTCTAGCCCCATTTCCCGCGAAGAAACGGTAAAGGGTCATATGACGCATACCAAAAATTTCAATGAGGTGCCACACGGCTGCAACTCTGCATGAAGGACTGTCGGCTAAATATCCTTGCTATGATATCGTTCTCGTGTACGCTGTCATTCGCAATTGCACGCTACCTATCAGTCGTTTCAAAGACTATTGACAGGCACCGATTGATTTCCGGGCTCAATGGCTTAACATAGCGTCACCTGCAACCGCGATATATTTGGTCAGAAATATCACACGAAGTTTTCGGTTTATACCATAGCTTCATAACCCGCTAAAGAATGGAACTACGACGAGTATTTTCTTCAATGACAATGCCACCCATCCCACACCTCCTGGGGGCGTCCTAGTTCTGTGACCTCCCAAACGCCGTTGTGAGTAGGACCTTGAGACCTCCGGGGACTGTGTGCCTATCAAAATAACCGTACCACTTATCAATGTCCTCTAGCTTGGCTGCGCATAGTTCGTTGGTAAGTACTGATCTATTCTGTCGGGCGTGCAAGTCCATACCTTCATGAGTGAACATCCAAGAAGGGTCATATTTGCCATCAATAACCATGTTGAGAAGGAGAGGGTAGTACTACGGTCGTGTCAATACAGGATTGGAATCGAGGATTTGACAAACGTACCTTTTGAGCCATGAGCTGTCCGCCCCTGAGAGTGATTGTTTTCTCCATCAACATGCCAATGGGAAATTTGTTTGTCGAGAAGAAGAAGTCGCCAATCAGCGCAACGTTACCACCCTTTCGGGTTGCCTTGATGCAGGCAAATACCGTATCTCCGCTGTCGCCCTCCAACCTCAAAGCCCGCATGCCCTTGTGCGCAAGCGACTGGGCACTCCGGAACCCGCTTGCCTCAATACTACGGTCAAGGCCCATGGGTTCAACTGAGAGAATGTACTCTGCGACATCATCGTGTTGTGACACGTCCACCGGGATCATGCCGAATTCCTTGGCTATCTCCAAACGCTTAGGGTCGACGTCCATAGCGTATACCCTCTTGGCACCTCGGAGCTTCGAGAGCCGCTGGATAGAGAGGCCAACGGCGCCGCATCCCCACACCCCGACGATGTCTCCGTCGCTGACTTCGGCCAACTCGCACCCGTGCCATGCTGTGGTGGTGACATCGGCAAGCCCAACAAGTTTCTTCGGGTCCATGTCGTGAGGAGCCTTGACGCATGTCAGGTCGGCGTTGGGAACCCGACACCATTCAGCTTGGTCTCCCGGATATCCGCCAGTGAGGTGCGAGTATCCAAAGATGCCGGATAGCCGGTGACCGTACATCTTTTGCATCTCTTTCGAGGGGTTCGTTTTGTCGCAGAGAGAGTACTCCTTGCGTTTGCAGTAGAAGCACTCACCACACGCAATAACAGGGAGGATGATGACCCGGTCCCCGGGCTGCAGGCTTTTGACCTCTGGCCCAACTTGTTCGACGATTCCAATGGCTTCGTGGCCCATGATATCTCCTTTCTTCATGGCCTGGCTCAGCTCCCCGTTGTACATGTGCAAATCGGAACCACAGATGGTCGTGTGCGTGATGTGGACAATGGCATCCTTGGGCGCTGTGATCATCGGTTTCGGGACCTCCTCGACAGCGATGGACTTGGAGCCCCGAAAGACTGCGGCCTTCATTTTCTCTGTGGGATGGGCCTTGTAAGCCGTTGAGGCTATGTGACTAAAACGGTCAGTCGTGCTGCTGGGAGAGCTTGAAAAGCTGCGTACCTTGCTACAGCTGCCATTTTGCTCTGAATAGAAGATGATAGCCAGGGACAATTTTTTTAGATGATTGAAACTGGCACCGAGAGCTATATAAGTTTCAATAAAGGCATTCGATTTTGATACGTAAACTTGAATGTATATCGCAGAGACTTTATGCCTCGCAGGAATGTATCACGAAATAGGTCTCCACTTAAGAGAGTTCCAACAGTGACCTACTTCACTGGGGATTTGAAGTCATCATCTCGTCACTTGCTAAACTGTGCTCAACACAGGTTCTCTCACTTTCTGTCACAAACTACGACATCGGATGCTTCCGCTACTTGGGTTTTGTTCTGCTGCCCCGCACGCGGGAAATGCAACTAAGAGAAACTTGTTCGATCTCATTTAGATGTTGACAGGTTGAACCCTGGAAATGCTAGCCTAACTTGGGTTCACCCTAGGGAGCGACACTGCGATGACCACATAGAGAAGAATCGGGCAGGATCCTGATCGAATGATTGATAAGCTGCAGGCTTTCTAGAAGAGTCACCACCTTTCTCAAACCTTTCACAGAAGTAGCGTCATTGTTGCGATCGGGAAGCAGATGTTCCACAACAACCCTGCAGCAGATCTCGATCCCCACGAGTCTTCAGCTCTACCTGGGAAGAATAGATAGCATCACATCATCTATTAGGGTCAACTTTGGACCAAGGTATGGAGATAGCAATATGGACGTCCTGTTTGAGCCTCTGCCAATCAATGACGTCCTCCGCGGAGTAGATGCGGGTCTAACGACCGCGAAAGAACACTGGCCAATAAAGTCGTCACACGTTAGAACATCGGTTACTTGGCTCATATTGCGATTGTTATCTCACCAGTATTCTCCGTTAGTCTTGGTGATCTTGAACTCATCCGGGGAGCCATCTGCGTTGGATTTCCATCTGCGCGTACTTTCCGAAGCTCAGTCATCAATTCGAAGATATTCCTGCAGCATTAATTTGCAGGCCCGGTGAGACCTGGGAGATCGGCATAAGCTGCGTCAAGGTAGCGGGCCAAAGTCTATGTCTCGCGTTGCGTTTTCCGAACCGAACCGAACCGAGATCCCGGCCCGGCCCGGCCGGTCATCATGGCCGAGTGAATCAACGGGCCGGCACCTGAAGTGGGGGGTCGACTCATGCAGGATGATCACAAGACCGCGAGCCGTCGGTGATGGCATGCCGTTAGATACAGAGGAATCTATAAAGCCAAGCTGCTTCTGTCGTTTTCGACTGATCCCGAATCCAAAAATAATTCTTCCATATACAACAGCTGATAATATATAACCCATTTTGACGTGACATACATACCCGATATCAGCTGTCAAAATGGCTACCCAGACAGAAACCGTTGCTCCGACCGAAATCAAGCGAACCTTCGCCACACAATTCGAAAGCAAAGACCTTGTTACCTTCGATAGCAATAGGGTCTACGGGGACTGGCGAGATGAATTCCACCGGAACGGCTGCGTCATCATCAAGAATGTTATTAGTAAGGAACGAGCTCAGTATTACTGCGACAAGCAAATCGAGTGGCTTAAGAAATTCGAGCTCGGCTTCGATGAGAAGGACCCAACCACATGGACCACGGATCACCTCCCAGTCAGCTTCAAAGGAGGGTATGTTTCTGTGCTCCTTTGATTCCCTTTCTCAGGCTAATCGACCACTATAGCATGTACTCAGCGTATGGCGCATCCCACGAAAAGATGGCTTGGGAAGCTCGCTTAGAACCAAAGGTTATTGAAGTGTTTGAGAAGCTCTGGGAGACCAACGAGCTCATCACCTCATTTGACGGCATGAACATCTCCCTGCCAAACCGCAAAGATATCACATGGAGCCCTTGGCCTCACTGCGACCAGAATCCCGAGAGAAAAGGGTAAGCCGCCGCTGTTTGCTGTCTTTCGACATCGTAGTACTCATACCCGCCAGCATGCAAGCAGTCCAAGGTCTTCTGAATTTTGCTCCCAACGGTCCTAAAGACGGCGGCCTGATGCTCATGCGCGGTTCCGCGAAGCTCTTTGACGAGTTCTTCGCTCATAAGCGCGAGTCCGCCGACCACGAGGACGCGCCTCCACCCGAGATCAAATTCATGGACTTGTTTCTCTTTAGTGAGAAGGATGTCAAATGGTTCGAGAGCAAGGGGTGTGAGCTGTTCAAGGTGAACATGGAACCTGGCGACTTTGTCCTCTGGGATTCGCGCACCATGCACTACGCCCGCTTCCCCGATGGGGACCAGATCAGACACGTGCAGTACATCTGCATGACGCCCCGAAAGTTTGCGACTGACGAGGCTTTGGAGACCAAGAAGTTCTGCTTTGAAAACTCTTTTGGAACGACGCATTGGCCTCACTGGTAAGCTCAACTCGTGTCCGACTGGTTCGGTGCGTATCCTGACGTTTGATAGCAACATCCGCCCCTCACAAGATCCCCCCAAGAGGAATGGAGAGGTTTGTCCCAAATACCGAAAGGAACCATTCGAGAAGGCTGAGATTACGGACAAACTGCTTCAGTTGGCTGGGGTGAAACCATACTGAGGGCTTTTGGGTGGTGGTCAATCACACCTTGCGATACCCGTTGAAGATGTTATACGATTTCGTCAAGAGCCAGCATTAGGTAGCAAAGTTGAAATCAACAAAAATTATCTTAAGCTTAGGCTGGAATTCGATAACCCGACTATTGAATGATTGGTGGATTAATATTGATCCAGACAGACAATCCTTTTCCAACATTGCTCAAAACTTGTCGGCCGACTGAATCCCGACGCCCGCTGCAGGGTGCCCCGACCGGCGTGAAAACCATTGATCTAAGCGTTTACTACACTACCTAATGAGAGCCTGTAAGTCCTCTGCCCTAAGACAACCGGGCCGAGCTACGCGGACTTTGGGGATTTCGCCTCCTGTGAATACCCGTTTCCGAACCCCATAGGACCGAAGTCGGAACATTCCGATGATTCCCAACCGGCCTTTTGCTTGGCATGGACACCCGTTATAAGTGTGAAATCTCTTAGTTTAGTCAGGCGTGATTATAGGGTCAATATTGTTGTCGTCTTTGCTGCTTACTCTTCCTCGTCTCGCACACCGCACCCCTTCTGCCGCAAATCACTTGGTTTCGCGCCGGATTTGTAAAGGAAAATAGTCGAGTTAAGCTTGCCGTCTGCAACGATGTCAGAGAAACGAGTTGCGGCTCAGCAAGAGCAAGACGAGCACCGCTTCCCGATTTCCGATGACGTTCCTTCAGGTCAGAACCATGATGCAGAACCGGATGCGGGGGGACCTCCCACAAACCGAACCTCAAGGAGCACCCACGGAAGTGCATCGCATCTCAACCTAGTGATTGATCCGCCGCCGGATGGAGGTTCAAGAGCATGGATGGTCGGTCAGTACCACAACCGAGTTAAGATGCAGAATAATAGCGAAATGTTATTGACAAAGCTTCATAGTACTGGGCACGTTTCTCGCTGTGATGAACACCTGGTCAGTGCCATGGACTCGGTCGCGTTGCAAAGCCACACCGCTAAGAAGCTCATAGGGGTGTCGCAAACTCGTTTGGTGTCTTCCAGCCGTACTTTACCTCCCTCTTCTCCCGGCCGCCGTCTGATGTTTCTTGGATCGGCTCTTTCGAAGTCTTCCTCCTTTTCTTTGTGGGAACCTTCACAGGACGTTGGACAGACATGGGATACTTCCGAGCCCTCTTTGTTGCCGGCTTCTTGTTGGTAGTCCTCGGAATGCTGGCGGTCTCATTCTGCACAACTTATTGGCAGTTTTTTCTCGCCCAGGGCATTTGTCTGGGCCTCGGAAACGGGTGCCTCTTTTGCCCCTGCATGGCTGTCACGTCGACGTATTTTGCGAAACGCCGCGCGCTGGCGTTCGGTATCACTGCGGCGGGGGCTGTCGCCGGCGGGCTGATCTTTCCAAGCATGGTTCGACAATTGCTGCCACAGATCGGCCTGGGTTGGACAATCCGTTCGATAGCATTGATACAACTGGTGACTCTGGTCGTGGCCGGACTTCTTATGAAGACCCGGATTCCACCCCGAAGAGCTGCACCGCTGGTAGAATGGGCAGCGTTCAGAGAATCTGAGTACAGCTTCTACGCTGCTGGAGCTTTTATGGTAAGTGATCATCTAAAGCGCGATCGAGAGGGTCTGACATGTACAAGTGCTTCTGGGGAACATACTTTGCATTTCACTATCTTGCTGCGTTCTCGCGCGACATCATGGGCCTATCCTATGCGGAATCACTAGATCTCTTGCTTGTCCTCAATGGGGTGGGCGCGATTGGTCGCATCATCCCAGCTCAAATCGGCGACGTCATTGGTACCATCAACATCTTTGCGCCCATGGCCCTTATGACCGGTACCATCATGTATTGCTGGGCTGGTGTTCGCAGCATCGCCGGGCTGTACGTTTGGTCAGTGTTCTATGGGATCTCCGTTGGAGGCGTCCAGTCGCTATTTCCGTCAGTGCTCAGCAGTTTGACTACGGATCCGCAAAAGCAGGGGACGAGGATGGGCATGGTCTTTACCGTGGTGAGCTTTGCGTCACTGACCGGATCACCGATTGCTGGAGCCATTATCGACACCATGGGAGGTAAATACGTCGGCGCCCAAGCTTTCGCTGGCAGCTGTATGATTCTGGGAATGATCTTTGTTCTTTCAGCGAGAGTTTGCAAGACTAGGAAAATGGGGGTTGGTGCTTTTGCTTGGATCAAGGTCTAAACGACATAATTTCTCGCCTATCTTATCCGCCTTGTCTCGGTAGCCCCGGTCGTTTTTCGTGGTGAGTGGCTTGTCGAGTTTGACGTCGGAGCCCTCGCCACGGAACTTGAAGACAGACTTGCCGCCCTTGGCGATGACTTTGGCGCAGATATTGCCGAGCGCCGGGACTGCAGTCTGGTTGGCGAGACGAATGATCCATTCTGATGAAGGAGGAGTTGTCAGTGGCTTCCAAGGTTGAGAGATGGCGTGGATATTGGGGGTGGATTTAGGGGCTCATCAATAACGGGAGTGAAAGTCAAAAGCATGAGAACGACCGTAATGACGATACGACAAAACGTCCTTGTAGCAACCTCGAGATCCAACGCTTCGGCAGCAGAAATCGCAGCATCAGTCGCCTCTTCATTGATCTTCCCCTCGATCTGCTCCTTGCTGATGGGTGGCATGAGGCCTGCAAGAAGTAGCTCTGGGTACCTACGCTGCAAGTTTGGTTATCTTGGCCGCTGTGGTAGCTCGTGCTAGGTCTCCATGTACATTCGTATCATTCTTTCTCAAATCTGCTGTATCATTGAATGACTATGAGCCGGGCCTGGATGAAGCCATCCATGTGATGATGTGGAAAGAGACTCGCCCATCAGTCCTCGTCTGACCAACTGTACTGGTCATCAATGATGGCCGCGCGAGCTGGCACGGCAGCACAGAGAAATTCCTCCTTCCTAAAGGCGCCTAGCCAACCGTACTCACGGTACAGATTCTTGATTGCCTGTTACATGTTAAACAGTCTCTGATGCCTTGACTGCTGACTTGGGGGGTCGGCACCGTCGGACTTACCTTGGCTTCTGGGTCCTTTGGGGCACAGATGGCGGCCCTGGAATTCCCCACCGCAGGCGCCGGAACCAGCTTCAGAAATGAGATGTCATTGTACATCTTGTTAAAAAATTTCTAGAACAAGAGCGCCTTTGCGCTAAGCCATGGCTTATCCTCTGCAGCCTCAGGCGTCGCGTTGTTGTACAAGTAGTAATTGTCTCCTTAAGGGTAGACGTATCTTACAGCTAGGGTAGATTAAACCCTGTCAGCACATTGTTAATAAATTAGAAACAAAGAATAGAGACTAAACCTTGTTATATATTAACAGGCTAGATCACTTTAACCTTAGCCTCTTTATATGTTAAGAAGACAATATATAATAGTAAATAGTGCTAAACTAAGTATAGTAAACAATAGCTAGTGCTAGTTTAAATCCTTATTCTGCTTACGTTACTACTTGTTCCTAAGGTACAACAAGACTATTGTTTTATAGTAGACTATAGTATTATTGCCTATAGTGTTACTACTAGGAGGGCTAGCCTACAGATATAGGAGGTACTATAAAAGGTGTCTAGTGCCTAGGGCAAGGCCTGGGGGGGGCACTAGCGGTGGGGCTATATATAGATAAACTACTACCTGTAGTATATAACAGGGGAAAATCCCGTGAGGACTAAGGGCTTAGAGGAGGTATATTAGAATAATTGTCACAATTGAACCCTAACTACACTATTCGTGGACTCCTCTACTCGGTGCAATCACAGCCTCTGACAAAAGGGCTATAACTGTCTCTGACCAGCCTAACGTCCACAGCGCATCAACGTTAAGCTCCGCGTCGGACCACCCCCTTGGCTCGGATGGCGCCTGGACGGCCTCTGGGTGCAGGTGGCCCATGTCGACGAGTAGCTGGTAGTGGCGCTTCACCAGTGAGACGGGCACGTCACGGTCATAGCTAAATACCTCTGGCGGCTCCCTCGCGGGCTTGTCCTTGCGACGGAACATGGTTGGGTGTCTTCGTGTGAGGAGAACGGCAATCGAAAAGAAACACAGATCGATAATGCTGAGCTCAAGTGCGGATCGTAAACCATGTACCTCATCGGCTTTTCTCAGGCCTGTATAGATGCGGGGTGAGCTTATCATTCCCAGGATAAGGAGGGGTCTAGGTCGATGTTTGCCAAGCACAAATGGATAAACAAGGGTACACTTTGACTTTGGGATATTCGGATTAGTCGCCGAATCTCGAGGCTTGGTGTCTGGATGATAGAGAACTAGCATCGAGATAGCTGAGGTCAACATGTATCGTGTTTTCGTTGTACCTAAATGATGCCATGTGTAGCAGTAAAGTCAATGGTTTGTTTTCAAGAGCGACTCAGCAGCCGTCAAGTGCCGCTTAAACCTGATACAGTTACTAAACTCTTTTTGTTTATTGTGATTGTTGGAACATGAATGCCACCTGACCGTACAACATCCCATGATTTAGTAAATAGGGGACAAAGGTCATCAGATTGGATACTCAAACTTCGGGTATTATGAATTATTGTACGAACGGACTAAACTGACTTAACAATATATGACTGAGTATATAACTATTGTACGTCAGCTAGAGCCTATAGATAGGAAGGACGGTCGCAGAATAATAGCTTGATTCACTCCTATATTTTAAGTACATGGATGTACAAAGCCCATTCAACAGTGATACCGGTGGCTATGAGTCTTCTATAAATTTGCTCCCATAGAAAGTAATGCTATATCTAATACCTGTGAGAGGGCCCCGTCAGCTAATGTAATAAGTGCTGGCAATTGCAAGAAACTGCAATGCAAGATAAATATGGACATGAATTTGCGACCTGGCGCATTGCAGATGCTCGTCATTGTCATCTGTGTAGAATGTCATGTCCTTGTTTCTTCTCTCGCAATTCTGTTTACAAACTCACACCAGATCAGAGATACTCAATGCTGCTGAGCCCGTGACTTGTTGTGGCTCCCATACAGCATCAAGCATACCTTGTCTACCTAAGTATCTACCTAGGTTTCTCTCCTTCCTCTCACCTTGCTTAGTTACACTAAATCTCAAATAACCATCCTGGGAAAAGAGCAGCGCTTGCCAAGTACCTGTCCGCTGTGTTAGGTAACTTACCGTCCGGCCAGAACATTACATCCCCTATTAGAACATTCGAACAGCAACGAAGACTTTCCAACAGTTTCGGTTTTTCAGAGATGGGTGAGCATTAGCTAGATACCTAACAGGGGTTGTGAAACGTCGGCAAGATACCATGGTATTTATCTGGAGAGACTCGAGTCATGTCAGTGCATAATACAGTTCCAAGATTATGACTGCCGAAACTTTGAAGCCGGAACTCTGAATTATAAACTCACCAAGGTCAGATTCACCTAGGTGATACCTAGTACTACTACAAACAGTAACAAATAGAAGTGGTCTAATCCAATTGTGTCAAATATTCACGTCTCCTACATTATAGAGCGACCTTGTGGCGAGTTAGGGGCTTGAAGGTTGTACTGTATGTAGTATAAGTGACCCTTGGCCCTTGAAAAGCCGAGTTCTATAAGCTATACTACGACCTAGCCATTATCGAAGAAAAAGTGCTACACTGCGTGAAACATAACCGTAACTCTGAGAGAAACACTAATCTTTGATAACAGACACAGTGAACTTGATGGTTGTCCTGGTACAGCAGCGCGACGAACATGACTTGTCTAACAAGTCCATGAGGATCTTGATAAGACGCAGTCGGTCTGGGTCGTTGGCATTGAAGTAGATTGAGGACCGCTGGTATCTGCTGAAAGTACCGTAGCGTGCATTCCTCTTGACTGCCTCCTGAAGAAGAGCGGAAAACGAAAAATCATCTATCCACTCTTGGGGCGCAAACTACTGAAGAGCGTCTTGTTTCCACTCCGCTAGATCGTCAGCATGGCGTCAAATCAATTGAACTGAATGCAAGGCTGTCATGTTGACTACCAAGTATCTTTTCCTCCATGTCAATTACGTCTTTTGTCGTCGTTGGTATCGAATCAATCTACCTATCAATAGTCTTGTGATGGATATGGTAAGATGTGCCAATCTTTTTGTCACCCGCATGCGTTACGAGCAGGTCAGGGCAACGAACTGCACCACAAAGCAACAGCTTCAGTTATGATGCCCCTGCATCATTATCCTCTGTTATGGATTATATATAGTCATGCCAGCCAGAACTCTAACCGGTTAGGTCGTAATACCGGCAGCGTGGTGACCACGACACCAACACACTCCGACAAGAGGTGAGAGAGACGACCGAGTCCGCTGGCGCTGACCCCATTTCACCGTGTCGTATCACATGCATCCCTTTCCCTCTGCCGCTGCGCTCACAAAGTATCGTGACTCACACTGTTCATAGTTTAGTATCCCCAGGCATCTTAAATTATGTTAGAAAACGTCGCGCTCGCTTCCCAATTTTTCATCCTTATTCCAATGTTTCTCCTTGCGGATTTTTGGACTTGAACTCGGTCCGATCGGCACTTTCAGGTAAGATGGTGACCTTGCCTGCCAAATATGTACTAACATGGGGACAACACAGTCGAAATTATGCGTTGATCTGGGAAAATGAAAGACAACTTCAGCGCAATTTTCCCAAGAACCACTGATGACTCCAGTTTTCTTGTAACAATCGAAAAAATTAGTTCCGTCTTATCCTTGTTGGGGGTCAGCTTAATATTTGTCGTCTTTTGGGCCTTCCAGCGCATGCGATCCCTTCGCAATCTCTTCATCCTCCTTGCCTCAATCTCCAACTTCTGTGCAAGTATCGCCTGTATTATAGGCCGTGATGGACTTCGTCTCGGCGTAGACTCGGTGTTGTGTAAGTCGCAAGCTGTACTGCTTGAATCGTGAGTGTATCAAGACCTAATTGCTGTTCCTAAAACTAACCCCTTGAAGCTTTTTGCAGTCGGATCCCTGGTGGTCCTTTGCTATGGCTATTAACGCGTTTTTTATTTTTTTTGCGAATGCTGACGTATCATCATTTCGACGATACCTCTGGGTTTACTGTATTATATGCTTAGGGGGACCTTTGATCCTTGGCCTCTGCTTACTATTGATCAAGCCGCATGGGCCAGAGTCCTCAGTATATGGCGATGCTTTCGTAAGGCCCAACATATCCTGAAAGTCTCCAAGCTATGTCTAATTAAAACGCAGTTATGGTGCTGGATTACTCCTGAATGGGGTCACCTTCGAATTTATACGTTCTATGTACCAACCTGGTGCTGCATCTTCGGCTCAGCTGTTGTCTATCTCGTCATTGGATACCACATATTTCGCAAGCGAAATCAACTTGCAAATCTTAACTCTAGCAACCTACGCAACAATGCTGAAGGCTTTTTGGGGGTAAATGAAGGCACATCCACCGGAAAGGTATTTCACCTGTTACTAGCACCTATATTCATGTTTGGCCTCTTATTAATAGTTATTAGAGCCCTACCGACGGCACTGAAGACGATATAAATGCAGTGATGGAAGGACCGATTACGACTATCAAACTTGAGCCTCAGCTGCCTCGGACGCCATGTCCAGCTAGGATAAACAGTTTTATTAACGCAAAAGCTCAATACCGGGACCCATGTCATATGATCAACGAGGAGGCTGCTCCGCAGGGCAATCCGCGGTTTGGCACAACTACCTCTATTCTGGCCCCGCAGAAGCCCCGGCGCTTTACTATACGGCGCATCACTCCCATCAACGGAAAGATTCAGTCCCATTTAAAGGGGATTGATCCTATAAAGCTTGAATATCTCCGAACCTGCTCTTTTTTTGCTATTTCCGTACTTGTCACATGGACGCCCAGTTCAATCAACATACTATACGAGTATATCAGGCCGCAGGATGTTAATGTGGGTTTAAACACTACTATCGCCATCGTGCTACCACTTCAAGGAGCCTGGAACGCGGGCATATTTTTCTTGACCAGTTGGTCAACTTTGAGAGAAGAATGGACCGAAATGAGGTTACGTCACCAGGCGCGCCATCTCGACAACCGCGAAAGTTACTGGTTGTCAAGGTTTAAATTACTAATAGGCGACCTGAAGCATCGCTTCTAATGCGGTCTGTATCGGCATGAAAGAGAGACTAACCGAGACCAAACATGCGATGTTCCACTATCAACGTAGTCTCAAGCTGGAATTATATGTGTGATGCAAGGGTTATCCAACACACGACCTCGATGTACGTTTATTTTGAAAGAGTCAGGCCGAGGCTTATGGGAGGCCTTAAATTCATTTATTTCGGTAGCATACTTATTCCAACACAAGACTGAAGCTCGATTTCATATTGGCTGCCTTAGACGGCCATCCAAAACCATTTCGTGTAAGAACGCGAACGCCGCAGTTGGTCTAGAATGATTGATAGACGTTGCACGCCATATGGAGGCAGTAGACGACGATGTTTACATGTCTTTAAATTACACTTAACGAGAGGCTACCTTCATGACAGGCTGCCAGCGCAACTGAACTGCGGAGCCATCTGGGAACCCGACAGGAAGACGACACTGATTAGAAGATCTCTCAGGCATCATGGAAGTTCCAAGACTCGGGGGTAATAACTTTCGGCCATGGGGTCGGAGATTCAGGTCTTTTACCAACAATGTCGACGTAGAGGACAACGAACGTCGGAGTGGTGTATCCAATTATTACTACAGAGGCGGGACGCTTTGGTACAGCGATTCGTCCCGTGCTTCCTGGTGATGCCATCTTCGTCATACTGGGGTGCGATGGGCTCGTTGTTCTCAGACCTGCCGAGGAGGTCGGCGCTTACCAAGTCATTTCACAATGCTACGTTGAGGGCCTGATAAAAGGAGAAGCTATGGCTAGATTGGCAAGAGGCGACCTTATGCTGAGGGACGTGGGCTTGGTGTAACAGGTGGGTGGTAGAAGGTGTCATCCACATGACTGTCATTTCCGATGCTGCCATGTTATTAATACATTCCGATTCCCCAAGATAGAGGTGACTCGCTCAAATGTCTCCAGGAGGGGATTATCCGTTCGTGGGTGATACTGGAGACGACGCGTTTCGCGTTCTATCCAAGTGTCATTGTACCCAATACATCTGTTCGTGTTCCCTTAGATACCTCTTTCCGTCGAAACGCTTCCTAATGAGTTGACTGCTAAGCAAGCCTGGCCTGCGCCGGTTTTCTACATTTTTCACTTCCCGCCTTAACAAGCATTCTGCATCTTGTTCTGGGGAGAGGGCTACTCAGCAGACAGGTGTCGCCAAAGGCTTCAGCCTTGAACTGTGTTTCTAGAAATAATTGGGGAAGGTCGAGCGGCTTAACAAGCTGCTGAAGAACGCTATCAACGGGACTACTTATGTAACAAGAGTAGCTCTGCGCAACGCAAGTAGTTTATCAATGCCACAGGTCCCGCCTGCGGGCCCACGTATGCCAAGGAGCGGTGTTGCGCACGCAGACATCCCTAAGTCTTAGACTCGACACTTCAGCCACGTTTTACGTTGTATGTGCGTCAGCACTATCACTCAATAAGTCTTCAATAATGTCCTTGGCACAATACGGTTGATCCTGCTGGCTGGGCAAGTATGATGTTAGCGCTAGCGCAGTTGGGGGACGGGACGAGCACCTGTCTAGTGGGTTAATCAACGTTCACTTCGTCCACAAGGTTTAAGGAAGATTATCGTTCACCGTCATTGGATTTCACGTCAAGTAACACTCGCCCTCTGCTTCACTTCTCCAGCATGCGCTCTATTATCCTGCTCTTGGCGGCTGTTGTCGATGCCACATTAGGTGGCAGATTGAGCCAAGCAGACCAGACTTAGGAGGTTCTCTCGCCTATCCCGATTGCACCCCGCCAAGAGCATTCCGTTGTCGCGCTCTCCGATACCAGGCTCGCCGCAGTAGGAGGAATTCTACCTAACCTAGACAGCGGAGTTGGCTTCAACACAACGGCATTCATACAATTCTACGATATTCCCGCCGACTTGTGGTCCGAGCCAATTGACGCCCCAATCCAGGTCAATCATCCCAACGTTGCAGCCGTAGATGGAGAAATCTTCCTTTTAGGGGGGTCTGACAGTTGCATCGGACGGGGCTTGGCGTGTCTTTTCTGACTCGTAGAAATACCATCCCTCCACTGGTGAATGGACGGCACTGCCACTTATACCAGCGGGGAAGGCAGCTGGCAGCGCGACCGTTGGCGTGCTGAGCAATACCATCGTCCTAGCCGGCGGCATGCGGACACTGGAGCCTATAGGAGTTGAAGGACAGCAGGACGCGGTTGACTTTGTATCGGTGTTTGACACCAAGTCTTGCACCTGGAGGAGCCATGTCCCGGAAGCGGCAAGAATTCTGCCCGAGGGACGAGATCACGCTGCCGGCTCTGTCATCGGCAGTAGGTTCTACGTCCTGGGCGGCCGTCTCCGTGGCCAGTACAATGTCAAGGATACCGTTTTCGTGCTGGATGTCGACGACATGGAAGCCGGGTGGGTGACTCGATGGGTAAGAATGCCTACAGCACGTGGCGGCGTGGTAGGAGGAAATTTCGGGGGGAAGGTCTATGTCTTTGGTGGCGAGGGTAATACAGCCGAGGGCTCCGACGGCATGTTTGACAACGTTGAGGTCTACGACGTCGAGCTTGATACATGGCAGGAGCTAGGGCCTATGAGACTTCCCAGGCATGGTGGTGCTGCTGCAACTGTCGGCGGGAAGATTTACCTGCACGGAGGAGGCATCAGGGAGGGCGGTAGCTCGATTAATGTGACCGATGTATTTATTGTTACCTAACCGATGGTATTTTAGATGTAGCACTCCGATGTTGATTTGGAGATGAGGCTAGCTCTGGGTCCGGAATCCCTCTGAGCCTTGCGTCGAGTTGCTATATCTCTAGAAGCTACTATTATGGGGGTGTCTAGCAAAAGGTTATAGGAAGTCTCTTGACCAAGTTTCTATTTGAATAGCGGAGTCTGGTCGAGGCGTAGTCGGATGTAATTATACTGATTACTTCGGGTTAGGATCTGGGATTTTGTGCATTCTTAGGTTATCTTTTTTATTTGTATTATTTACCTTTACCTGTTACTTCTACCATCTCTTATCTACTAATTCTTTCTATCTACCGGTGTTCGCAAGGACTTGTCTGTCTGCGTAACCGGCGGGCCGCCCGTAGGTCTCTCGGCGAATATGGTATAGGCTACCATAATTAAATTTCTATTCAGAGGTATGCTCTGCTATTCAGCCAGACGGCCTTGGTTTTTATCAACGAGGTGGAGGGAAACGCTCTGCCTCAATCCGCGGTTATTTACTGTGTGCTATAGCAACGACAACCGGCCAGGACACGGGTAACCGGCCGGCTCCTAGGCGTCGGCCCGCGCAGCCCCGCCTGCCGAAGCGCCAGCTTCCGTTACGTACCAAGTCAAAAGGCAACACTCCAAACGATTTCTCTACACTAAAGTAGGTACTGTCAGAAGGCTATAGTAATAAAAAGATTCTTTCATCCAGAGGTATATAAGAGCTAGTATAGAAATACTAGCGCTTAGGTCTATATAGTAAGTAGCCTAAAGCAAAATTAAGATTAGTCTCACGAGTTAGGGCACACAGCAATGGGTGGTCTGAAGGTTGAAGAGAAGCTTGAATTGTGAGAAACGGGAGCCCATGTGCCAGGGCTCATAGAGATAGGAAGCTCAAGGTCGGTCATGTGACATCTCACATGATGTGGCTTGTCTCATGAGCCACACTAGCTTAAGCCTCCTTTGATAATTAGCTATAATAATACACTAAGAGTCAAGCGCCTAATCAATAGTTACCGAGTGTCAGAAGACTCATCGGCCCGGACATGGAAGGGATACCCCTGCTAATGAATCCATTGAATCAGCCCGAGTCAGCATAAATAGGCTGCCACCGCGTAGTAGATTAATTGCAAGGCGTGCTTGGCTATTGCTGCTGAATTAGAAACCACACCGATCTCTGCCGGGCTGTGTGCAATTACCATGTTGAGAACGAAACTCAATTAGAGTCTCTTCTCAAGGCACGCGATGGAGATCTTCGGCCCACTCCCAGGGCCCTGGGACCAAGCTGTCTATTTTAGAGTCGTTGATACGCAATCAACAACTCCCTCTTGAACTGGATGCGCTCTTAACTGCTTTATGCTGATAGTCTCTCTTTACCTAGTGGCAATGTATGCTCTGAATACCTTCGTTTCGTATCCCACTTGTTCTTTACCCGCATAATTAATTACGTTTCCGCGTGAAAATTTGCTCGACATGCACGTTGAGAAATTAGTTCGCCTGGTCGCCATTCTTTCCTTTAGCAGCGAAGCTGTAGCCTATCCAAACCCCTACCAGACAAGATGGGAAGAACATCTGCACAAAAGGATTCATGTTGCCAGACAGCATGCTTTTTTCAATACCACTCAGCCTCATCTCACGCCAGCATCAACGTCATCCGTTTCTGTCTCGGCTACCACCACTCAAACCGGACCATCCAGCTCGGCACCGGCACAGTCAACAATATCTAATGGCGAGATTGTTGCTGCAGTCATTGGAACGACTTATGTGGTCGGTCTTGGGGGTGCCGTACTCATGGTAAACGGAACACCTTACACGTTAGCCGCAGGAACCGTCGTCGCGATCACCGGTGGGGGTCCAAATGGAAATACTCCTGAAATTGAGACGGTCTCGGACCCGGACAGACCACAGGAGCCCAAGACCTCCGAAGTAACCTCTCCGATTTCTTCATCAATTTCCGTCACTTCCACCACTACTTCGACTGCATCGACCACATCCTCATCGGCAGCAGCAGCAACTCCTTACATAGTCCTTTTTTCGCCCAATACCACGGCGGAGGAAATACGGGCCGTCAATACCATGCTTGACAAGGAGGCGGCCCCGAACTCACTGTCAGAAGTAACCAGCGACCGTACCGGGCTTGTGGTGTTTTTCAGAGCGGGCATCAATCCCACTCAAGCTAACGCCATCGGACAACAGCCTGGTGTAAGTCATTTTGACCCTTCAATCCGGGATACCCTGCTCAGTGAACCCACAGGTTAGCGGTGTGTTTGTAGATGAGACTTTAGAACAGGAACAGCCGCCTTCTTCTGCTCCTCCATCCTCTGCATCTCTCCAGCCCACTCCCACTGGCCCCCCTGGCTCGCCCAAGTCCAACGTCCCCAACCCGGCCGACATCAGACTGCAGTCCGATGCCGTGGATGAACTGAAGGTTATATCGCAGCCTGCTGGTGCAAACCTTGCCGAGTTACCTGGCTACGGGTACGCCCAAGAGGGTGGTAAGGGTGTCACCATCTACGTGGTCGACACTGGAGTTAACTCCCAAAACCCAGTACGCAACGTGCTAAGGACGACACTCAACAATGGTTCACTGATGTGTAAGAATAGGAATGGATCAATATGCCCGGAAGCAAGTCTTTCTTGTATGCTCCGGGTGCTACAGAGGAAGAGACAGACTTCTTGAATCATGGCTCTTGCGTCGCCTCCAAGGCAGGCGGCCCGGTATACGGCACCGCGAAGGATGCCAACATGGTCGCTGTCAAGCTGCCTCGCAACCTTCACATCTCCGCCATCCTTACAGTCTTGACCGAGATTAGTAATAATGTCTTCAAGAAGAATCTTCAAGGAAAGGCCGTCGTCAACCTCTCGCTTAGCACTCGTAAGCTTCCCTCTAACCCCACCTCCGTGTTACTTCGGATGCTCACTGCCTGACTCGACTAGGGATCCCGGACAAGCTCTCATCCACAGCAACTGCATACAAGCTGCTTCTGGTCTCATTGATGTCGGAAGA